GCATCACGCCCGGCCGCCTTTGTCTTCCCAGTGCCGATGTTTACACATCGCAAAAGGGTAGTCATTTCAGGCTGAGTTGACACACGGGAAGCCCAGGACCTGTTCACACACACACGGGGAATGATTTACTTCTTATTTAATACTTCCCGGTAGGCTGGATGGAATATGGGTGGGGGGGTGGAAGTGACACTTGATGAAGTATAAAAAAACATCCTCGCGAGAGCTATACTGGATGTGGTGTGCCGGGCGTGTGTAAACATTATTCCGGGTTCGCCGACACCGAAGAAACCCGGCTGAAAGTAAACCCTGCAAACATATCTACACTCACCACTACATACATGCACTTTCAGTTTACACACAGTATATACGCGCAAAAGACAAAGATCCCCCGTGTAGCCTTAACAGACTGTTGGGGCAAGTGCTGTTCGCGAGTAGCACCTATGAAGGCCGGAACGGCACACGAGGGGGTGGGTGGCCAGCACCACGCCCGGCCGCCTTTGTATCCCCAGTGGCGATGTTCATACAGACACGTACCGGCTTATAAGACACACCGCCAACTTTATATTTTAAATACTGCAACTGGAGGAGGGGGGGGGAGGTGCGTCTTATAATCCAGAAAACCCGGGACAATGCAAACCACCGAAGCCAAGAATTGCACCCAAGATCCAATTACTTAGAAGCCACAGCGCACGTACGGCCAGCTCTATCACTCCACTGCTGGATGACGGCCTCCACCACGCCGTGCTGGTCGCGTGGGTTGTTGGACCGTACTTCATCGTGCTCGGTCAGTGCGGGTTTGGTGAAGGCGGTGGGAGGGGGGAGGGGCATCAGAGACGGTGGGCGGAGTCCGGTGCCTCGTGCTTGCACTGCCCTCTGCTGGCGAGGTGTGGGAAATGATCACCTTCGTGTTTTATAAGTACGGTAATCGAAACTACTGTGGTCGCTTTCACATTACACGTAACCTGTAAACCCCAATGTCAGTGCCTACACCTTGTTACTGATCAATTCAGACCTTATTGGTCACCCCGTGCCCCTTCTAAATCTCAAAAGTGCATCCTACAAAGTCCCATCACAAGGGAGAAACGCAAACAAATAGACACAAAAAAACGGTTGCCGGTAATTAAAGCGGCTGTACGCCGTATGGACTTGAAAACTCAATTTCCCTGTACAAGAATACGGGGTATACCCGTGTGGGGTGACAGCTGTGCATTATAATCACATGGCGAATGTTATTGGATTCACAGTGAAGACACGGTGGATCCTGCATGGCGCGGTCACCACCTGATTATTGTTGTTATTGTTGTTTCATAGTCATTCGTGACAAAGAGCTTTACAGCTCATCGGATTTCCTCCTCCAGTCTAAGTAAAGATTCTGACTCTGATTCTCTGACGCGGTCATCATGAACCCGACCCATCCGGCCACTTCATGTAGATCTTAGAGAGAGAGAGACCACTGCTTGATTGATTAGCACCAGCGCTTCATTTGCATCGCGTTTACCAATCAAGGGACGCACGCCTAGTGTACGGATCTCACTCAGATATGTGAACAGAGGAAAAAGCGGTGCACTAACCGCTGGACCACCGCTCCGTCACAATGCACACAGGCACACACGCACACACGCACGCAATCCGTATCGTAAACTCGGATCAACTTGTCAAACGCGAACATTCATTTAGTCTTTGTTTTTCTTTAAATACCTAACGGGCTTTCTCGACCAATGTTAGGATTCGTATTTGGTTTCTGCTTAGGTTAGCTCGTGCCGTGTATATAACCAAAAAAACACCCTCCAACACCTGACACAGCCAAAACAAACCGGGCTGTCACATGGGCAAACACAGTCGACGGCCTTGTGGGACTAAAACAAAACATTGGCCCAGGAATTTGTAAACCCACCGGGCACCAAATTGCCCGTGCGATCTCGTCGGCCCGTTTGGGGCTGGGTCCAAAAAACAAGTGGACCGGTGAGGAACAATCTTTGGGGCTGCCGAATATGTGGGGGAGGGGGGGGGGTTAATGCCAACTGAGAGCGAAAAATATGCAATGAAGCGTACACATTGGAGGTAGTAAAATATTTTTTATTAGAAAAATATATTTAATTTTTTTTATTCACGATCACATTGGCAATTTCCCCACGTAGACTGGCCCAACGGCCCTCGGTATGGACCCGACCCAACATTGCATTTTGCCGGGACTGTTCTTATGGGCCAGTCCGGGCGTGGGCACACGGGTTTGATTTTAAGTTGTGAGCTCTGTAATCTCCAGCGAAACGTCGTACGAAATTTGTAACAAAAAAAATCCTGCTTCTCGACGTACAGTGAGGGAAAAAAGTATTTGATCCCCTGCTGATTTTGTACGTTTGCCCACTGACAAAGAAATGATCAGTCTATAATTTTAATGGTAGGTTTATTAGAACAGTGAGAGACAGAATAACAACGAAACAATCCAGAAAAACGCATGTCAAAAATGTTATAAATTGATTTGCATTTTAATGAGAGAAATAAGTATTTGACCCCCTCTCAATCAGAAAGATTTTTGGCTCCCAGGTGTCTTTTACATAGGTAACGAGCTGAGATTAGGAGCACACTCTTAAAGGGAGTGCTCCTAATCTCAGCTTGTTACCTGTATAAAAGGCACCTGTCCACAGAAGCAATCAATCAATCAGATTCCAAACTCTCCACCATGGCCAAAACCAAACAGCTCTCCAAGGATGTCAGGGACAAGATTGTAGACCTACATAAGGCTGAAATGGGCTACAAGACCATTGCCAAGCAGCTTGGTGAGAAGGTGCAACAGTTGGTGCGATTATCTGCAAATGGAAGAAACACAAAAGAACTGTCAATCTCCCTCGGCCTGGGGCTCCATGCAAGATCTCGTCTCGTGGAGTTGCAATGATCATGAGAACGGTGAGGAATCAGCCCAGAACTACACGGGAGGAAATTGTCAATTATCTCAAGGCAGCTGGGACCATAGTCACCAAGAAAACAATTGGTAACACACTACGCCGTGAAGGACTGAAATCCTGCAGCGCCCGCAAGGTCCCCCTGCTCAAGAAAGCACATATACATGCCCGTCTGAAGTTTGACAATGAACATCTGAATGATTTAGAGGACAACTGGGTGAAAGTGTTGTGGTCAGATGAGACCAAAATGGAGCTCTTTGGCATCAACTCAACTCGCCGTGTTTGGAGGAGGAATGCTGCCTATGACCCCAAGAACATCATCCCCACCGTCAAACATGGAGGTGGAAACATTATGCTTTGGGGGTGTTTTTCTGCTAAGGGGACAGGACAACTTCACCGCATCAAAGGGACGATGGACGGGGCCATGTACCGTCAAATCTTGGGTGAGAACTTCCTTCCCTCAGCCAGGGCATTGAAAATGGGTCGTGGATGGGTATTCCAGCATGACAATGACCCAAAACACACAGCCAAGGCAACAAAGGAGTGGCTCAAGAAGAAGCACATTAAGGTCCTGGAGTAGCCTAGCCAGTCTCCAGACCTTAATTCCATAGAAAATCTGTGGAGGGAGCTGAAGGTTCGAGTTGCCAAACGTCAGCCTCGAAACCTTAATGATTTGGAGAAGACCTGCAAAGATGAGTGGGACAAAATCCCTCCTGAGATGTGAGCAAACCTGGTGGCCAACTAAAAGAAACGTCTGACCTCTGTGATCGCCAACAAGGGTTTTGCCACCAAGTGCTAAGTCATGTTTTGCAGAGGGGTCAAATACTTATTTCCCTCATTAAAATGCAAATCAATTTATAACATTTTTGACATGCGTTTTTCTGGATTTTTTTGTTGTTATTCTGTCTCTCACTGTTCACATAAACCTACCATTAAAATTATAGACTGATCATTTCTTTGTCAGTGGGCAAACGTACAAAATCAGCAGGGGATCAAATACTTTTTTCCCTCACTGTAACCGCTTTTGCTGAAAAGCAAAATCAATCTGCACATTTGCGGTTGTGCACATAGCCTGGCACAAGCGCCGTGGTGACGTCCGCGCCACTTAGTGGCGAATGGCGGTTGTTATTGGAGAGTTATAGCCCTAGATGACATTCATACCAACACGATCGGACTCAAGAGCGACCAATTCATTCACCTTCCATGAATTTAACACGTAGAAGCCTTTCGCGACCAATATTATTCGTAGCAAAGTGGGTTTCTTTTGTTCGGTTAGATCACGTAAACGTAGCAACCGCCTTCGTGTTTATAAAACGGTCCGCGTAAGCAGACATTACAGAGCTACCTCTGAGCTATACCTTCCTCAAGTGACCCAATGATCGGCACAGTAGAGGGGCAGCAGCATCAGCCCGCTCGCTCTACCAACTAATTGAGAGCAACGATCGTCGCACGACGGTCAAACAGACGGGTTTTTTTAAACTCTCAGAGCTGCGATTTAGACAAATTTTAGGTGCGGAACCAAATTTAATTGCGATGGCTTTTTTGTTGGTTTGAGTCGTCATTGGTTAGCTGCAGTGTCGGATTATCCTCGTAGCAAAAGTAGCTACTCATGTATTAGTAGCTATACATATAGTATTAGTAGCTACACATGTAGTAGTAGCTACACATGTAGTAGTAGCTACACATGTAGTAGTAGTAGCTACACATGTAGTAGTAGCTACACATGTAGTAGTAGTAGCTACACATGTAGTAGTAGTAGCTACACATGTAGTAGTAGTAGCTACACATGTAGTAGTAGCTACACATGTAGTAGTAGTAGCTACATACAGGGGAGGAGCCAGGATTTCAGGCAGGGGTGACATTCAATACATTTTAATTTCAAGAATGATTAGGGAGTCAGGCTGTTGAACTAGACGCTATCGGTTGGCGACACACTCTGACAATGCAGTTGCACGGAGTCCGCCAGACCGAGTGTCGTACACTTATACGCAGAATGTCACCCCTGTCACCCCCTCTGGCTCCGCCCCTGGCTACATATGTTGTAGTAGTTGCTACACATGTAGTAGTAGTAGCTACATATGCTACGGGCCCACACTTTCAAGGGCCCTGCGCTAAATGCTTTCAAGCTATCAATTCCGCTTTAATGATTCTGCACTTGCTATATTACTATAGTACTATACTGCCTTCAACTTTTACCAACAACTGTGTGTTTAAGGTTGGCGATTTGTCATATTATCTGGCTGTATAGCAAATGAAAAATACAATTATTTTACTATGAAAGTAAAAAATGTGTTTTTAATATTTGTTTTTATTTAGGGCCCCTTTATTACATATGCTGCAGGCCTCGCACTAGCTTAATCCGGCACTCGTTAGCTGGACAGAGACATTCAACTCGCTGCATTCGAGAACCCCGATTAAATCACACGCAGCTGGATTCTGGCTCGAACCTTGGCTCTCGGCAGAACCCACTCAGCGCTCTGACCTCTTAAGCTTCCAGGGCCACCTCTGAAGTCCATTATTAAACCTCCGACGAAATAAAATTCACTGTGGCTTGTGGGCTCTCGTGTCGCGCCTAGCTGTCGAGCTTAGCTGCGTCCGTCCGTGCAGGCGACGTCGAGAGGGCGTTTGACGTAATGTCGTTCTCGGGACCGGGCTGCGAGGGCAGGGTAGCCGGAGAGGGCAGGGCAGGAAGCGAGGGCAGCGGGCAAAGGGCAGCCTCTGCGATGGCTTCCTCGTATGACGGAGGCATCGCTGGGAATGTGGATTCCTTCCAAGGGACGTCGGAGGAGGGGCGAGGAGAGAGTTCGGCGCTCCTTTGGGAGGGGTGGAGAGATGGATGGGTCTCATCATCGCCGTCATCATCGTCCACATCATCATCGTCATCATCATCGCCAACATCATCGTCATCAACATCATCACCGTCATCATCGTCATCATCAATATGACCACGGTCCATTGTTGTTGCCACCATTTGCGTAATCAATGTCATCATCGAACACGGTGGTTGCCATCAATAGTTTGACTGGTGTCATCATTTGCATCATTAACCTTATCATCAACATCATTAAAGTCATCATCAATTTATTAATGTTTCCATCATTCGCATCATCACCATTGACATCTTCATCATTGATCACCATGGGTCATGGTCACCACCAACGGCTGCACGAACGAGCAACTCCTCACCTTTGCCTCCCAGGTTCGATCCCCATCGCCGCCGCCGCCACGGCTGCCGCTCCGGGCACCGCCTGCTCCTCCATCTCCCCCTCGCACGCCCGGTTCACGTAGCCGCCTCCTCCACCTCCACCGCCGCTGTAGGCTGGGGGTGCCGACTCAGGGTCGTAGGGGGGCGGTGGGTGGAAGCCGTGGTCGCTCGCGGGGGAAGCCGTGGGATTGCCCGGGGTCTGGATGCTCGCCACCAGAATGCCGAACGCCTCGAAGCGGCGTCGCATCTCCGTATCTTCCTCCTCCTGCTCCCCTCTGGAGCGGCAGCATCTGGACGTCGTGGGAGACGTTCAAAAAGTCAAGGCGGCTGTGGCTGCGCTGCACTTGGCCTGTCGCTTCTAAGCCGGCGGCGCTGTGGAGGCAGCAGCGAGGGATTGGTGGATCACCGCGCACAAATGTTGGGAAAATCCCTTCTATCCGTGGGCGTCGAGGAGGGCAGTACAGCAAGTGGACTAATCGTCATCTGTACGGGGATTGAGTGTTGCCCCCTCGCCTCACGTGAGTTTTCTCCTGGTGCTCCGGTTTCCTGGCACGTGTACGATAATCACAACTCGTCATTAATTGGCTGAAACTATCTTAAAATGAAAGCCCGATGCAGGACCCTCCTAAACAAGAGTCCTACAACTCAGTCTGGCTTCCGGGACAAATAATTAAATGATTTAAGTCTTCCTTAAACCATCGCCATCTCAGTGCCATCGAGTTCCTGTGCACGCACTCTTTCAACTGCTCCATCTCCGTGGTGAACGCCCTCATTGATTTAACGCGAAGCTGAGATGACAGCTGCACCTCCGATTAGCACTGTTGGCTATGTACGGTGCGAAAGAAGATCAACATACATACATATGGATGGGAAATTGACTTGTGTGAGCCTTTGAGCCATCTCTCTCTACGCTGTTGAGAACGCAAGAAGATTCAATCATGAAGATGACATTACTGAGGCAGTGACATGGACCGAGCGGCAGCGCTGCGTTCGACTCGCTCGTTGCAGAGATTCACGGTTCGAATTTCAGTGGCCGCCCTGGTTAACACTGCCGGTGTATAAACTGTAAACGAAAAAAAATACGCACCGTCTGCTTCACTCACAGTGGACGTTAAAGATCCAGTGGCGTCGTTCGCAAGAGTAGGCCCCCATTGAGCGCCGGCTTCTCAATTTTAAATAAATGAAGAAAAATAACCCCGCAAATCACTCTAAATATGGGGAAACGCGCGGAAATCGAGAAAACGTGGCCAGCACTCTCGTTACAAAAAAAACAAGTCATGAGGCTCCGCGAGGCTTGCCATCACAATCGTAACAACAATGACAATTCATCAGCTGGGGCACGCAACACTCACACAAGAGTCCTGAGACGCCACGCGGCCAGCAGCAGGAAGACCACGCCGAGGCCCATCAGGATGGGTCCCAGCACCTGCGACCAGTCGAAGCTCCGAGAGTGGCGCGTGTAATACAGCCATCCCATGCACGTGAGCGTGAGCCCGGCGAACACGAGGAAGAACCCGGAGAACGAGAGGGTCACTCCGGCCCGGTCGTTGACAGGGGCCGTGAGGCCGCTGCGACGCAGCATGGCTGGGCCTCCCCCCCCCCCTTCTCGCCGCTGCGCGGCCGATTAAAATTCTGTCCGCTGGCCCGATTCGCCCGGTGGGTCAAACGGCTGAGCAGCCGCGCGGTCTTCAATCGAGGCCCGTGGACGTCTTCTCTGTCCCTCTCTCTCTCTGTAGTCTCCCCTCTCTCGCCGCGTCCCTAGCTCTCAACGCCCACCTGTTTGCGAGCACCTATGATGAAGGGTTTTTTTTGGCAGCACCGCGCCGGGCCCGGTGTTTTACGCGGCGCGCACCCAAGAGCTCATTTAAGGGTTGATTCAACCAAGCGCAGGCACAGGGATCAGTTGTAGATATTTCGCGACTGAGTCGAACTGGTTTCAACGCATCACGCACACACGCACGCGCACGCACGCGCATGCAAACCTTCAGTCGGGGGGAGCGACACGTACGTGGCCACTTCCTCCCTCAATTTAACCGACACTGCACCACATTCTGGCACACGCCGCTATGCAAACGTTAACGATAACACGCAAAGATCTGGCGTCCGTTACCTACGCTTGTTTCTCCTACAGCTGTCGTAGTACGCGCGTGTGTGTGTGCGCGTGGGTGTGTGTGCGCATGGGTGTGCGTGTTGGTGCGTGTGTGCGCGCGCGTGTGTGTGCGCGCGTGAGTGCGTGCGTGTGCGCGTGTATGTGTGCGTGTACTCAGTAAACTTTGAACCCTCCACCCCACCCCGCTGCTGCGATCACAAGGGCGGTCGCGGGTTCACGCGCGCGACGCGAGCGATGCGGTGCCTCTGTGGGCTGTGCGGTTCGTGGCGGCGTTCCAGCGAAGTTGGGGAGGTGGTTTGGGGGCGTGGGATGTGGAATGAGGAGGAAGAGCAGTTAGCGCTAAATAATAACTCAGACCCAGCGCGGGGCAACAAACGGAGTGGATGTCACGTAAAGTCACGCGCGCAATTTGCCAATTCACCAGCAGGCAGGTGCTGGGCCCGATTCAAAAGTCAACAAATGAAAGAGCGGATTTCCTTTGCTCAAACGAGGGTCCGAAGTGGGTTGCTGTTGCTCGTCGGTTCGCAGCCCGCAGCGAGTGGCGGACATTCCACATTCACATGGCGGGGGAGGTGGGGGAGGAGCGCTAGTCTTTCGATACGGTCCGCGGTGGACGTCACCACAAATTGGTGCCCTTTTTTATCGACCCCCCTCCGAAAGGAGCGAGCGATGATGGGCTGAGTCATCACCAAATAAAATGTTTAAGGTCACGTGTAATGATTAACGGAGTTTGACGCGTGTGGCAAAGACAAAGATCCCCCGTATAGCCTCTAATAGACTGCTAGAGCAAGTGCTGTTAAGCGAGCACTTATGAAGGCCGGCACGGCACCAGAGGAGGGGGTGGGTGGCTGACACCACGCCCGGCCGCCTTTGTCTCCCCAGTGGCATTGTTCACACACTGCTCCAGGTACACATGTGAGGCTGAGTCGACCTCGGGGAGGCACAGGACCGGTTCAGATAATCGTCACTGATGTGTTGGCTGTGAGCGGGAATCGAACTCGGACGGTAGAGTGCGCTAACCACTACACTACCGCTCCCCTCCTACGCGACCGTGTCAGCTAGTGCACGACACGGCCCAGTTGTGTTTCTACAGAGATAAGATACAGAATGCCCAAAGGCTAACATGGGGCACACGGAAGCCCATTGGCTAACATGGGGGAAACGTCCATAATACAGTTGTGTTGTGTTAGATCGCGTAAATATAAAAATGTGTCGTCAAAATCCGCCACCACCCAACACAGCCAATTAGTAAGGTTTGTCACGTAAACAGAACGTTTACTGGCGAAACGTCGTGCTCAAATTGTAAGTGTTGTGGCTTTGCTCTCCAACAAACCAGTTGTGCTGTACTCGTAACGAATTGGCACGTTCTGTTCACATGACAAACCTTATTATTTGGCTGTGTCGGGTGGTGGCGGGTTTAACGACACATTTATATATTTACGCGATCTAACCCCCCAAAAAAACCTGTATTATGGATGACATTGGTCGTGAGAGCCTACTACGTGTTGCATGGGGAAAACGGATGTCCATAGACTAACATGGGCTAACGGATGTCCATAGACTAACATGGGCTAACGGATGTCCATAGACTAACATGGGGCTAACGGATGTCCATAGACTAACATGGGGAAAACGGATGTCCATAGACTAACATGGGCTAACGGATGTCCATAGACTAACATGGGGCTAACGGATGCCCATAAACTAACATGGGGCTAACGGATGTCCATACACTAACATGGGCTAACAGATGCCCATAGACTAACATGGGCTAACGGATGTCCATAGATTAACATGGGCTAACGGATTTCCATAGACTAACATGGGCTAACGGATGTCCATAGACTAACATGGGCTAACGGATTTCCATAGACTAACATGGGGCTAACGAATACCCATAGATTAACATGGGCTAACGGATTTCCATAGACTAACATGGGCTAACGGATGTCCATAGACTAACATGGGCTAACGAATACCCATAGACTAACATGGGCTAACGAATACCCATACACTAACATGGGCTAACGAATGTCCATAGACTAACATGGGGCTAACGGATGTCCATACACTAACATGGGGCTAACGGATGCCCATAGACTAACATGGGGCTAACGGGTGTCCATAGACTAACATGGGTTAACGGATGTCCATAGACTACATGGGGCTAACGGATGCCCATAGACTAACATGGGGCTAACGGTATAAGCGATGTTTTCCCCATGGTAGTCTCTGGATATTCGTTTTTCTGTCATTCGTTTTAGCCTGACCCTTTATTCACGTCTTTATGCGAATACGCGTCGTGTATTCGATGTAAAAAAAAAAGTTTAAAAATAAAATCGATGGGGCAACAATACAAAATGTCACGCGCATGTCCTTGCAACACTCGAATGCTATTTAGTAGCAGGAGACAAATGTGGGCAACACGTCCTTTATATTTTGTCAAATACTCGCAATGCAGGCAATGAGTGTGAAAGGGGGCGTCCATAAATGACGTCACGCGATTTTTGACGATTTTTGACCCCCCCCCTCGTCGCCCGACGTCACAAAAAGTCAGACCCCCCCCCCCTCAAATATGACGTCACAAAGCTCTGCCCCCCCCCCCCCCCTCAAATAAAACATGCTTCAAATTGCTTTAAACTATTGTCATTGTAGTGCGTATTTAATGTGGCGCTGCACTCTGATGTTGTAGGAGAAAACATTTATTAAAAAGTATATTTAATTAAGTAGAACGTGTTGTCTATATTTATTTAAAGTTGCGCATTTTGATGTGACGTCACATTTCTCAACCCCCCCGCTCGTCACACATCGTCACAAATGTCTGACCACCCCCCAGGTGCGTGACGTCATTTATGGACGGCCCCTTCAGTCTAAACGAAGCTACACGCGATGGATTCCATCCAATCAGAGACATGGATTCTGTTGAACTTCTTTCGCGCCGGACGTAGCTGACCGCGCTAATCCGAGGTGCGGGCGAAGGACAGCAACTAAACACAAACAGCAGTTGTAAAGAAATTAGTTTTCAATCTGGATGATTTAAAAGTGCCACAGCCTCCGTCGCTTCCAAATATGGGCAGGAAGAGCGTTCCAGACGGTCGCAGAAGCGCGTTCGAAAGTGCGTGATGCCGTGACCCTCTTTGTTTTGATGACTCAGCCAACAGCCGCTCCTGCGAGCATGTGAGATCGACTTTACTGTGAGTCCCAACGCATGCAGATTAATCGATTAATCGATTTAAATTATTCGATTCGTCGTTCAAATGAATCTATTCGTGTCGTCCCCACGCCGCTCAGCTATTGTAATGCAAGACGTTACAATTAACAAGTCGCGTTGTCCCTCGAACTTGCTGAGAAACCCTGAGTGGGGTTAATCGGCATCGCCCGCAATTCGGGTTATGCCCCCCCCCCCCCCCACCTTCTACGAGGTCGATGTCTTGGGAGATCTGTCGACTTTTAATTTTTTGACCGGGACGTTAAAATAGGGTTGCCAACTCCGACTGAAGCTATTCCCGGAGTTTTGTTTTATTGCTGTTAAGTCATGTTCTTTGAATGTAAGATTGTATTCTCTGGTTCTTTCGGTAAAGTCACGACCCGCTTGTCCCGCTATCGAAACGTCGTGATATTTTTTTATTCAGTTTATTTTTTATTTCTCTATCCACGTGACTTTACCGAAAGAAACAAAGAATATGAATTCCTGCAGTCACGAAAGTTTCAAGTAAAAATATATCCTATTGTATTGTAACAAAAAACATCTGCCGGTTTGCTTTCAAAAGTCAACGCAGGGGAAGGCAACCAAAACGAGCAACAAGAAGAATAAGAGGCAATTTTTTGTCGAATTCGGTAAAAATAGACTCCTTTAAAAAAAGGTTTTTAAAAAAAACAACGGTTTTATTAACAACTTCGTTTAACTCACGGTCGAGAAGTTCGTCAATGTCGCCTGAGACACGCGGCGCCTGCTTTTTTGTGCGAGCCGATTGCACAGTTTGGGGACCGTGGCGTTTTTGACCGACACAAATATATACGTAAATAATAAGGCGTCCATACAAAATGTTAATTGCTTTAAAGTATCTATTTAATTGATTAATTTATGCCGATTTTAATACAGGCATGCATTGTCACCGGATCTGAGTACGTGTGCAAAATGTGGAATTGATTGGACAACGGGAAGTGGACGAAATTTTGATTACAAGATATGACCACGACAAACAGAGGAATCAAGTTAAGGAAAACCGTTGAAAAAAAAACACCTTCAATATTTAAAGAGCCGCAATTGCACTCGGTGAGCACGAGGCGTTGGGGATCCTTCATACATCACGTCACGGAGCGGTCCTGAAACAGAGCCGCAGGTTGGCCGACTCCTGCTCAATGGGAATGCGATGGGAATTCCGATAGAGGCTTCCGGGCAATCCGGGAGGGTTGGTAACCCGATGTTAAAAGTCGCGGGTTTTGTTGTTAAATTCGCTGGCACCGCTACGTTAGGCAGTGGTGAACAGGCGCACTTAACGACAACACACCCAGCACGTTCGTCGGTTAGTGGCGTGGCCTTTAAGGGCAATGGCCCTTAATTCACAGAACATGATGTGCCATGAAGAAGGGCCATTGCCCAAAACGTAGCTTATGAGACACTGTTTGACCTTTAATGTCACGGTGTTGTTATTGCCGCAGGCGTCGACTTTACTGGATTTTGTTATATGCTTAGCTCTTTTGGTAAAGTCACGTTGAAGGGAAACAATAAAATATATATTTGTTAGTTGCGTAATACCGTAACTCAGCACCTCGTACGCCCACCCCCCATCTCCTGGTGCCCTGCGTATACAGTCAGGGAAAAAAGTATTTGATCCCCTGCTGATTTTGTACGTTAGCCCGACTGACAAAGAAATTATCAGTCTATAATTTTAATGGTAGGTTTATTTGAACAGTGAGAGACAGAATAACAACAACAAAATCCAGAAAAACGCATGTCAAAAATGTTATAAATTGATTTGCATTTTCTATGGGATTAAGGTCTGGAGACTGGCTAGGCCACTCCAGGACCTTAATGTGCTTCTTCTTGAGCCACTCCTTTGTTGCATTGGCCGTGTGTTTTGGGTCATTGTCATGGTGGAATACCCATCCACGACCCATTTTCTATGCCCTGGCTGAAGGAAGGAGGTTCTCACCCAAGATTTGACGGTACATGGCCCCGTCCATCGTCCCTTTGATGCGGTGAAGTTATCCTGTCCCCTTAGCAGAAAAACACCCCCAAAACAAAATGTTTCCACCTCCATGTTTGACGGTGGGAATGGTGTTCTTGGGGTCATAGGCAGCATTCCTCCTCCTCTAAACACGGCGAGTTGAGTTGATGCCAAAGAGCTCCATTTTGGTCTCATCTGACCACAACACTTTCACCCAGTTGTCTGAATCATTCAGATGTTTATTGGCAAACTTCAGACGGGCATGTATATGTGCTTTCTTGAGCAGGGGGACCTTTCGGGCGCTGCAGGATTTCAGTCCTTCACGGCGTAGTGTGTTACCAATTGTTTTCTTGGTGACTATGGTCCCAGCTGCCTTGAGATCATTGACAAGATCCTCCCGTGTCGTTCTGGGCTGATTCCTCACCGTTCTCATGATCATTGCAACTCCACGAGGTGATATCTTGCATGGAGCCCCAGGCCGAGAGAGATTGACAGTTCTTTTGTGCTTCTTCCATTTGCGAATAATCGCACCAACTGTTGTCACCTTCTCACCAAGCTGCTTGGCAATGGTCTTGTAGCCCATTCCAGCCTTGTATAGGTCTACAATATTGTCCCTGACATCCTTGGAGAGCTCTTTGGTCTTGGCCGTGGTGGAAAGTTTGGAATCTGATTTATTGATTGCTTCTGTGGACAGGTGCCTTTTATACAGGTAACAAACTGAGATTAGGAGTACTCCCTTTAAGAGGGTGCTCCTAATCTCAGCTCGTTACCTGTATAAAAGACACCTGGGAGCCTCATTAAAATGCAAATCAATTTATAACATTTTTGACATGCGTTTTTATGGATTTTTGTTGTTATTCTGTCTCTCACTGTTCAAATAAACCTATCATTAAAATTATAGACTGATCATTTCTTCGTCAGTGGGCAAACGTACAAAATCAGCAGGGGATCAAATACTTGTTTTCCCTCACTGTATTCGTCTTCCCAAGAGATGCCTCGGTTTTCTTCCCATTCGGAGGTGGCGGCCGTGTGCTCAACAAAAGCTCGGCCCATTGCGTTCAAAGTTCATAGGCCAAATCAAAAAAGTTCACGCGGAAAACCAACCTTGGGTGCAAATTCTACAAATGTATCGCCTCTGGACCAAGTCCTAAATCACCCTTGCTTTCCATCAGCTGCGTTGACATGAATCTCGATGGACTCTCACCTGGTCTTTATTAGGGGCAGGATGTTAATCAATATGGTGCCTGCTCTATGACAAGGGAAAGATCTGTTAATGGAAGTTACACACGTCATGACGCAAAGTATACACGCACAGTAAAGTACGGTATATTCACGAGCTTCCGCTTGTGCACTTTGTATGGGCAGGATACGTCGCTGCAAGGGATGATAGCTGGAGGTCACGACTAATACAGGAGTGGCAGCTTAATCGGGTTACTCATGAAATCTAAATAAATATCTTTAAATGGAATCAGCTTTGCGGGGCAGGTGGTTCAGACGGATCGTTACGTTACACCGCAGGGCCGTGACAGGGGGGTGGGGGGGAGGTTCATCCAGCAGTGGATTGAGCATGGCCCGATGACGGAAACACGCGCAGACGTGCACGCGCACCAAGGAATCCTCATCTCCGCTCGGGCGCCGACAGCCGAGAGAGGTGACGGACGCGGTTCGCGCAGTGCCGGGGCTCCCAGGGCGTCCTGGCTGCAACCGCGCGTTGACGATCTTCGTTCGGAACCGAATGGAGTGCGCGTCAAGGAGCTGCTCCCCCCCTCCCCCCTGCCGCTCGAGACACGTAGAGCGAGGCCGTCGGACGCCGTTGCCCGGGGGCAACGCGCGGCACCGACCGAAAGCCGCAGCGGAGAGAGCTGCAGTTACGACGCGCTTTCGGAGCGGTGGTTTTAAGTAACAACACCGTTTGTAAAAACAAACAAAAAAACCGGCGGAGCTGAACAAAGTTGAAATGGTCACGTTAGGAACAACAACAAAACACTGCGTTGGAAACCAGAACACAACGGACTGACGTTTTGGGTAATGGCCCTAATTCAGATCGGGCCCTTCCCCCTCGGCATTTTCACCGGAGACGTTGATCGCCACGTGTTTGAACGTCACCGCAAGACCCAAGGAGTTGAGAAATTAACATGAGAGTTCTAGATTTGAAGCTTTCGTGACTGAAATGATTCATACTCTTTGGTTTTTTCGGTAAAGTCACGTAGGTAAAAAAAAACAATAAAATAAAAATAAAAGAACTAAAAAGAATTTAGTTGTTTTCATATATTTTTGTATTTTATTGACAGTGTAAACTCCGCGGTCCACGACAGAGGACACAGGACCCTCTGCGTCATACGGTGGACCGCATGACCCACAGTGCAGTGCGTGATGTAACCTGCCACCAATGAATGCCCTTTGACACAGGCTGGCTGTTATGTGTTTACGGGTCACAATGTCGACTGACGAGACCGAGAGAAGTCAAAACCAGTCCAGGGCGTTTTGCTACTGGAAAGCAATGTATCAGAGGGCCCAATAGGCTTAGACATAGAAAGATGATTTTTTGTCTTTGGTATATATATTTTATCTAAAAAATCCCCGCTGATCGTGCAATGAGCTTCATGTCCTGAGATGAAACATCCATTTGGAGTTTTCGCAGAGCAATCCATTGCCTTGTGTTAGAGAACAGCCCACTGAAGTGGATATCACAGAGCAACCTCCCAGGTCACTTGATATTACCTACACACGTGCCCTACTTAGTAGGGGGCAGCACTATCCCACTCGCCTTGCCACAAAAGGTGTTCTCCACGTGGAAACACAACGAAATTTAAGATCCTGTCTGCTCACCATTGAGAACTCTATGTAACCACAGGCAGCATTTGCCTGGATTCGACCCCAGAATCTCAACGATGCCAGCAGAGCGCTCTGAACGCCGAGCAACCCAATCTCTGTGGGATTCGTTTAGTTGTGAAACGGACTTGACAATTTACCTTTGTGACCCAAAATGCTCCACAACAACCCATAATTAATGAATTAATGGTGTACATTCTCAAGATCGCTTGGTCGTACGAGTGTTGCATCGACATTTGAGAACTGTGGTAATAAAAAAAACAGATAAGCGAACAAACCTGACTTTATGTTCACGACTCTTGTTAACGTAAAATGTCATGTCACGGTTGTTAATGATAAAGAGATTCTGGCGTGTGTGGGAGTACGCCTCACCGATACCAATCACGCCATGGCCCCTGCAACAACTTTGAAATAATCTCGCTCAGGTTCATGAATCGGGCACCTTAGCAGACTCCGCCCGGATTCCCACGGCAGCGTTACCGGGCAAATTCCGCTAACGGAGTCGTGCGGATCCACTTTTGCTGCTATAAATTTCGACGCGATAAGCCACTTTGTTGATCTATCATTTGCGGCCAGGTTGCTTCTGAAAAATAAGTGAATACCTCAGTTGGACTTTGCCGGTTAAGATGGGGGTGGTTTAGTTTTATTTGCATGTTTATGGGTGATTGCTTGCCTTTGTTTGTACTTTGCACCGGTATCGTGTTTTTGTTGTACTGTTTGTTGTAACGTTCTTACCCGCTCCCTACTGGACATCTGTGAAAAAGAGCTTTATAGCTCATCGGATTCCTCCAGTATATATATTCTGATTCTCATTCTGAACTGTAAACTGGTTCTGCTGTAACTTTGTTATGGAACATTACAACAAAAAAATAAAGATTGTTTTACTGTCGGAATCGGTTGCCGGTTCTGGGTTTGAATCCAGACCTCAGCCGCCCATCGTTTTAGAGTATTTGGCTGCTATAAACGTCCACATTGATAATCCACTTTGTTGAGCTATCATTTGTGGCCAGTTCACTTCTGAAAAAGAGCTACATAGCTCAGTGGGCCTTACCTGGTAAAATATTAAGTTACAAATTTAACCGGGTCCTCAAGTGCATTGAGTTGACGGTCTAAGCACATTCACCAAAGACTGCACGAAAAAAATTGAAATTTGCTTTTAAAAAAAATGTGGATAAATTGAGCTCTTGATAGTTAACTTCAGTTTGACGCAAGGGACATTTTTTGTATGGCATTAGCGTGGGGTGAAGTGGCGTATTGAAAGTGTGCTCAGTCAGAGTTGACATCTTCCGGGGGACGTTCTCCGAGACAGCTGCAGAGTTCCGAATGGAATTGTATTGATCTTGATGCCTATTGCACTTCATTGGGGACAAAAGCATAACAAACTACCGATGCCGCCTGAAGCACAGCCACACGAACACTCACCGATCAACTCCCTTGGTCCCGTCGACTCCTTGTCATAGTCCTCTACTGCTACCACCACGGACGTTGGTGCCATGAACTCACCCCTCGATTCTTCCGCCCATGCCAGGGACTTTCGAAACTCCTACAAACTTGCTCGATTCCATGAAATGTTCTAATTCAAGGGTCATGATTAAATTAAGAATGTCGTTTTTCACACTCCTATCCCATTATTAGTGCCCTCCGCTGCTGGTTTTCGGAGCTCCCTCGCATAATCTCTCCCCCCCCCCCCCCCCCCGTTGCTTCGTGCCAAGCTACTACGTGTCAATTCACTGCTGGATGAAGGCCTTTTCCCACGCCATGGCACTCGAGGGGGGTTGTGTTGACCTCACCTCACTAGGCTGGTTCGCGCGAGATCCTAGAAGCTCGATTCCAGAGACACGCTGGTCCTTATCCGTGAGCGGCCCTTTCGCCTCGAAAGAGTGACCCAGGTTACGCTTGAAAAAGAGACTTGTCCTGGTCTCTTAAAGTGCTTTAACCAGGTTCCACAACATCTATTGTAAACTCTGCCACTCACCGTTCGGCACTGTTGGATATTTGACCTTTGCTCAGACAGCGAGATTTGCTGGTTTATCCAGGATGCTTCTGGTGCGCGTCGTCGCTTTAAGAAATTCTTTGTTCATATTTTGTTTGTAGCGGTTGCACCCGACTCAAGAGCCGCATGGCTCACAGGGCTATACCTAATAAATGAAACTTGAACTGACGTTTCAGGCAACAGTCCTCAAGGTGAGATGTGCTCCCCGTTGGGGTGCGTACACGCGCGTGCGCGTGTGTGTGTGTGCGCCCATCAGACGAGACAAACGTGCGTCCATCAATAGATGTCTTTATATGCGAACGGGTCTGTTTGGCATATACAAGTGAAAGCGGTAACGGTAACTTCTACATGGACGGTTACGTTGGCGGTATATACACGGCATCTCTCGGTGTGTTAGCACCGCACAGAGAGGACATGACAGAGGCGGAAGTTAAGAAGAAACAAAAAGTAAATAAAAAATCACCGTTATTTCATTTTTATAACCCAACGGGAATTTGTCATTTTTCCGATTTCTTATTATTTTTGTGTTATCGAACAGAAAAACCCCCTCGGTGTACGTACAGCACACGATCCGTCCTCCCCCGCTCTAGAATATACATTTTCTTAAATTTTATTACAAGTGCAACACATTAAAAAAAAATATTCTTAAGAGTGACTGAATCTCTATAAATGTACAATTTCTGTTTGTATTACGACTACCATCATCATTATCATCATCATCATATAGGTGCTCAAGAACAAATCACCGACTATTTACATTAGAATATATCGTGTCTTTTTTTTGTTTTGTTTTAACTCGCCACCACGTAAGGCAGGTCTAACATTTAAAACGAGCGAGAAACCTACAGCGTTCTCGACTAGACACGAGCACACACGCACAGCAGCAGCACAGTCAAACATCATCATCATCATCCCCTCCAGAGGAGCAGCTTAGAGCCTCTGGTAGATGCGTCGCGGTATTGCAGGGTCACACACACGTGCACATACGTGCACACGTGCATGCACACACGCATGTACACGCGCACACGTACACACACGCACGCACACACACAAAGACACACGCGCACACGTACACACACGCACGCACACAAAGACACACGCGCACACGCACAAAGACTCACGCACGCACAAAGACTCACGCACGCACAAAGACTCACGCACGCACAAAGACTCACGCGCGCACACAGGCACGCGAACCCTGCCAAGCAGACAGAAGCAAACGAATACAAATAACAACCAGAACGAAGACAAAATCAAGACTCTTGGAGAGAGAGAGAGAGAGAGAATCAACATAAACCCACGTATGCGTGTCTGCATGTGTGTGTAAATATTTATATCGACACCACTGGGACGATTAGTGATCGCAGCTTCGAACGATGGCAGAGGGCAGCGGCGTTGCGCAACGATGGCACTGCCCCCCCCCCCCCACCGCAGCTGTCAACGAGAAAACAACAGCGGCAGCAGCCGACGCCAAACACAGCCGGCGTGCCAGCCGTGCGCGCGTCTCACGCAAGTGCCATCGCATAGTCACCGCGCGCACTCTACGGCGAGGGGAAGCCGGGCCAGAGGAGAAAAGAAACAACACTATATATATAAAACATTACAACAACACGATACCGACGTTAACACCATGAAGTAATTCCTCCCCCTATAACGAAACGAAAAAAACTTGAACAAGGGTATACAATGTAAAGTGCAAAGTTCTTGCTTAATGGCTTGTCCATGGGAGGACCGGCAGGCAGGTCCGGAGAGACACAACGGCCACGCCGCTTACCGGCGGCGTGGGAGAGAACCGGCGACGTTGCCAGCTGTGGCGGCACCTTGGGGGGGGGGGGGCGGTGCTTGTGGGTGATGGTGTGGAGTGGGGGGTTGGGGGGCACCTGCAGGAGCTGGCAACATTTAGGGTCAGGGAGTGGGGGCGGGAGGGGCAGCCTCCATCACCACCGTGCGTTCGGCCGAAACCAGCGGACTCGCAGACGCACGGACGGACAGACGGACGCCAATCCGGTCGGGAGCACACGGCACCGGCGAGGCCGGAAGAGGCTCGCTGCTCCGGAGATTCGCGAGAATCTTGCGGCCTCCACGCTCGCCGGCTCTGCGGCCCCGACTGACGTCCCCCCCCTCCTGGCTCCGACCGCTCGCCAGCGTCGACCGCAGCGCCAACGCTCACGGGCGCGCCACAACCGTTAGTGGCGGCGGCGGCGGCGAGCGGCGCATGCGGGGAGGGAGGTCCGGCTGGCGCAGGAGGGGCGGCGCTGTCGGTGGGTCAGCAGTCCACCAAGTACTTACCTGCGGGACACGGCTTAGGTTGGCATTGATGGCGTACGCTTGGGTGAGCACGCGCGGCGGAGTGAGCGTGTGTGTGTGTGTATGTGCGCGCGTGTGCGTATATGGACACGCGCGCCAGAGGTGGAGATGGCGCGGCGACAGTGAGATAGTGGGTCAACGCGCGGGCGAGCGAAGGGGTGGGTAGTTGGGTGGTCAAGTAGGCAGGTGGATGCGTAAGTGAAGCAATAAGTGGGTAAAGTAAATGAGTAAGTGATCAAATGAGGGAGCGAAGTAGAGATGAGAGGGTGAATTTCGTGGCGAGTGAAACAAAGAGTCATCGAGCGAGCGACTGTTCGCGTAAAAGTAACGTAAGCAATGAGTGAGCGTACAAGTGAGTGTGAACGAGTGAGCAAATGAATAATTCAGCAAATGGGTGAGCACACCGAGTGTGCGAGCGAGTGCGCTCCTGACCAGTGGTCATCCTCTTCTTGAGCAGCGAGAGGCGGTAGCCGGGGCCCACGAGCTCGAGCTGCAGGCCCGAGAGGGAAGCTCCCTCACAGCCAAACTGCACCGCGAGCGTGGACGGGGAGCTGGGTCCCGCCGACACATCCAGGTGTGCACGCAGCGAGCCACAGCCTACGCACGCGCGCACGACGCGGGGGCAGCCACGCAATCACACAATCACACAACCACACAACGACGAGAGAGAACCACTTAACCAGGCAACAAGACAATCACAGAACCGCAGAATCATAGAACGCAAAAACCGCACAGCCTCACACAATCAAGCAACGCAACCACACAGCAGCACAAAAATCACGCGACAACGCAACCACACAGCCGAGAGGAAACAACTACCATTGTGCAACCACCACACAATCACGCAATCACACAACCATGCAACCAAACAGTTTAAACTCTGAAAAACAGACGCAATCAAGAGACCAGCTCTTATCTTCATATCACTGTTGTTTTTATCAGCGTCTTTATGATCTGCCCCCCCCAAATGGTTATGGTGGTGGTGCGGAATATGACCAATGCCCTTTTGAGGACCCCAGAACCTCACTCGCCACCACAAACTCATCACTCTTCTTTTTCGGAGGATAAATGCACGCAAGGCCGGTCTAATAATATAATAAACACAAGATCCAGGTCCGATTCAACACAGTACATAAAATCCGTGATCTGGTTCCATCTGTAAAAGATGTGATTCCGGACATACAGTACCCTGGCGTCTACAAACTAAGTTGCCTCTGTGGTAGTAGTTACATTGGAGAAACCAAACGACATGTCTCGGACCGCATCTGTGAACACAAAGCAGACCTAAAACACGGTAGGACCAACACCTCGGCCGTGGCAGATCACTGTTATAATTCAGTAGGCTCACATGACATTGACTTCTCCAAGACAGAGGTTCTCTGCAAGCCATCGTTCATGAGGCTATCCACATATACAAACACAGACAATTTCAACCGAGGAGATGGATTCTGGCTTATCAATCATTGGAAGGATTTGATAAACCATTTCGGGTCTTAATTGATTGTTCACGCTTACGGTGGCTTTCAGACCACATGCATTATTTTCGTCTCCCCCCTCCTCTTTTCCGAACATAGATGGACTCGTCCATATGAATAACTGCCAAATCGCTCTCCGTGGTGCTAACGTAAAATAAAACGCCACTTTTTCAAATTTTCTTGCTGTGGTTTTCACACCTCATGATGATTGCTTGTGTTGCAGTCGAAACTTCGTGAGATTTTATTGTGTTTATATTTTTATTATTTTATTGTTTCCCTTCGACGTGACTTTACCGAAGAACCAAAAATAATAATTGTATTGTTTATAGTATTTGCCATATTTTTTCTGGATCTTAACCATCCCTCCCAGGACCAGTTTAGATATTCGCCACTGATGTTAGCCATGGTCGGGAATCCAACTCGGGGTCACCAGGTTTGTTGGGCAACAAGCTACCCACTGTTCCACCATTGCCCACAAACACACACACACGCACAAAGATACCCTGCATGGAAATTAACAGACTGTGGGACAAGTGCTGTTAGGACCTATAAAGGCCGAAACGGCACATGAGGGAGTGGGTGGCCAGTACCACACTCAGCTGCATTTGTCTCCTTAGTGGCGATGTTTACACACCGCATCAGGTACTCTTTTGAGGCTGAGTCAACCTAGGGGAAGCGCAGCACTGATTCAGATAACCATCACTGGTGTTGGCCATAAGCAGGAATCGAACTCGGGTCACCGGGTTTGTAGCACAGCACGCTAATCGTTACAAACCCCACTCATAGACATATATACACACACAACTACACACAAACACACAGATACACAAAGATACACACATATACACACATATACACAATGATACACACACATACACACAACTACACAAACCATGCAGACAAAGACCCTCCGTATAGTCTTAACAGACTGTAGGAGCAAGTGCCGTTCGCAAATATCGCATCTCACTCACCCGCCCCATCTGACTTGTCAGATATTTCTGGTATTTTCCAAAGTGCCCTGCTTTGCTCAGCGTTCCTGCAGCAATGGCATCATAAAAATAGCGAAAAGAGAAAGGGGGGGGGGTTATAAAAAATAATTTTTGACACAGAGGACAAGGTAATACAAACACGTGAGCAATTCATTTAAGGACATGTTGTTGCTTAGGTGTGTTAGGCCATTCACATATTGTTATAATAACTTTGCCACGAAGGTTACTTTAATAAGGGACAGGGGGGAAGAGGGTACGGCTAGGAATGATGGTGCCCGCGGCAGACGGATTGGTAACGGGGAGAGAGGGAAAGGTAAAAAGAGATGGGGTGGGGGAGACGAAAAACAGCTTTATAGCTCATCGGATTCCTCAAGAATAAATACATATTCTGATTCTGAGAATGCAAGGTGATAAGAGGGGCGAGATGGGGAGAGGCACAGCAGGAAGGAAGAGAATGAGCGTAGACACAGAAAAGCATGGAGTGAAAAGGCATGGCAAGGCTAGGAGAGAGGGCATGGTGGGGCAAGGAGAGACAGGAGAAGAAGAAAGGGCAAGGAGACACGGGGCATGGCAAGGCAGAGGATGGGCGCGGGCAAGGTAGGCCAGAGAGAGTGAGACGGTCAAAACAAAGGGAGGATGACAGGGCATGGCAGGGCAGGGTCAGACTAGTCACAGCAGGGCAAGGTAGGGCATGGCAGGGCAAGGACAGACTGGTCACAGCAGGGCAAGGTAGGGCATGGCAGGGCATGGACAGACTGGTCACAGCAGAGCAAGGCAGGGTAAGGCAGGGCATGGACAGACGGGTCACAGCAGGGCAAGGTAGGGCATGGCAGGGCAGGGTCAGACTAGTCACAGCAGGGCAAGGTAGGGCATGGCAGGGCAAGGACAGACTGGTCACAGCAGGGCAAGGTAGGGCATGGCAGGGCATGGACAGACGGGTCACAGCAGGGCAAGGTAGGGCATGGCAGGGCATGGACAGACTGGTCACAGCAGGGCAAGGTAGGGCATGGCAGGGCATGGACAGACTGATCACAGCAGGGCAAGGTAGGGCATGGCAGTGCAAGGGCAGACGGGTCACAGCAGGGCAAGGCAAGGCAGGGCAAGGCGCAGGGCGGGACCCACCAGATGGCGGGCGGCTGGGCCTGCATGCCGAGCACGCCGCCGTCCACGGGGATGATGACCTGCACGCTGGTGAGCGGCACCGGTGCGGCCATGGCAGCGCTGTTGAAGCGGTAGTCGACTTGCACCTCGGTGGCCGTCGGCTCGCACTTCCAGCGCGCCACCAGGCTCAGCGGCACCGACTGGGCGCCGCCCGACACACTCACCTGGGCACGCCGGGCCGGGAGGATGGGCGCGGCGGGCACAAGAGAGCAGGCGGTGTTACAGCTACGGGTACTGCTAGGGGTGGGCAGTAGCTATGGTCACTGCTATGGGTAGCGCTCAAGGTAGGCAATAGATACGGATAATGCTGTGGGTGCAGCTGGAGGTAGCCTGTAGTAATTGGTATTGCTATGGGTACAGCTAGGAGTGTGCAGTAGCTATGGGTACAACTAGGGGTGGACTGTATCTATGGGCACTGCTACGGGTACAGCTAGGGGTGGGCTGTAGCTATGGGTACAGCTAAGTTTAGGCTGCAGCTATGAGAACAGTTGGGGGTAGGCTGTATATGTTTGTTTGCTATCAACGCTATGGTTTGCCTTTAGTTCAGCGAGTGGCTACTACACGCGCATAGATGACATCCGTGACACCGAGTGCAGTACAACCACTAACGGCAGTTGAGCCCCCTTGAGGACAATAGCTGCATGGACACTGGAAGGTCAGTCGCCACTGCTTGCGGTGCTGCACCAGCCGCCAAACAATGAGATCACATCCTGTAGTAGTAGCAGTAATAATACAAATAAATGAAACCTCGCAAAACAACCCCGGGATCGAGCAGAATGAAGGAAGTGATGATAAAGCGTGGCGGTGGTGTAGCGGTTACTGGGAAGCGGTGGCGTAGCGGTTAGTGGGAAGTGGTGGTGTAGCGGTTAGTGGGAAGCGGTGGTGTAGCGGTTAGTGGGAAGCGGTGGTGTAGCGGTTAGTGGGAAGCGGTGGTGTAGCGGTTAGTGGGAAGCGGTGGTGTAGCGGTTACTGGGAAGCGGTGGCGTAGCGGTTACTGGGAAGCGGTGGTGTAGCGGTTAGTGGGAAGCGGTGGCGTAGCGGTTAGTGGGAAGCGGTGGTGTAGCGGTTAGTGGGAAGCGGTGGTGTAGCGGTTAGTGGGAAGCGGTGGTGTAGCGGTTAGTGGGAAGCGGTGGTGTAGCGGTTAGTGGGAAGTGGTGGTGTAGCGGTTAGTGGGAAGTGGTGGTGTAGCGGTTAGTGGGAAGTGGTGGTGTAGCGGTTAGTGCGATGCGCTACGAACCCGGCAACCCGAGTTCGATTCCCACTCACGGCCAATGATGGTGGCGAATATTTCAACTGGTCCTGCGTCTCCTCTAGGTCGGCTCAGCCTTAAATGAGCACCTTGTGCAATGTGTAAACATCACTACAAGTGAGACAAAGGCAGCCGGGTGTGGTGCTGACCACCCACCACCTCGTGTGCCGTGGAAGCCTTCATAGGCACTCGCTAACAGCGCTTGCCCCAAAAGTCTGTTGCAGGCTATCCGGGGGGGGATCATCGTCTTAGTCTTTGGTGGCTATGATGGCACTGGCCGTGACGACCTTTTAACCTCGACCCGGACATGGCAGGCAAGGGTTAGACCGGCGAGGTGCCGGGTGGCGGACGAGACCTCGTATCTCAGCACGTCCACGTTATAGTACGTCGCCGTGGGGTTCTGCTCCGACAGCTTCTTGAGGTGCGTCGTCAGAGCCGCCATGTTCACCCAGAAGTCCTTGCAGTTGGGGTCACTCTGGGAGGGGTCACTGCGGAGAGAGGAATGAAACGCGGACGGGGGTTTGTGAATCTCGGCGGCTGATGTGCGGCAAGGATGGTAGAGAACAAGAAAAAAATGTTAGCAGTTCAAAGGCGAATTCATTAATATCACTTTCCATTCCAATGAGTGCTGTTTATTGTTTACAGCCCTAAAGAAGTAGTGGAAAAATTCCACATTGCTCTGGAAGGTGCGAGTCTACCCGCTGACAACCGCTGTTGACCATTTCACAATAACCCCATTGGCACCCTGACCACTGCACCAGCTGGTCAGATAATAAACACGAGTCCTTTGTTTCCCCAACAAAGACATGAATGGCAATATTCCGAGCATTTCTCAGGATGGCACTTGCATTGGGACGTCTGGCAAAAATGTTCTTTGGGAGGAATATTGGGAATGTGGGAGAAATCCCACAGCTTCATCTGGGGCAGTGGCACCGCCCCCTTCGCCCCTTTCCCTCTCACCGCCACCCTCCACTGTCCGCCCCCCCCCCCCCACCCCCCACCAACGCCGTTCACCTGAAGAGCAGCGTGGCGTTGGGCCTCACGGCTTCAAGGCGGCGCGCGTGCCGCAGGCGGAAGCTGAGCACGGGCGGGGAGGTGCTGCCCCCGAAGACGCGCGCCACGCCCGCCGGGAACGACACCGTCATCTCGCCCACCACCTTTACGATGCAGCTGCACACGAGCGCAGGCACGCACGTGGGGACACGCGCGCGGCGAATGCCTACATTCACCGCAGTGTTCAATGAAATTATCGAATCGTCATCAAGAATCGTGAACACCTCGAATGGCGATGCAAGCGAGTCGCGATCCCTATTACGATGAAAGTGGAATGTTAAGCGGGACTTTTAGGAAATCTAGTTTTAGTCTTTTCTGCCAAATTTTATCCAAATTGTGATATGCAAATACGGGTACATTTGAACATTGGTTGTGGCTGCGGCAGCAGTTACACTGGGGAAACGAAACGACATGTCTCGGACCGCGTTTGCAAACACAAGGCAGATCTTAACCAATACCTCTGCCGTTGCTAATCATTATTTTAACGCTGTGGGCTCAAACGAAATTTACTTTTCCAAGACGAAGCTACTCTGCAAACCCACCGGCTATTAGGAGAGATTTGTTCATGAAGCCATCCAGATAAATAAACACAGACACAACTTAAACTGAGAAGATGGGTACAAGCAATCATTGGAAGGACGTTATTAACCAGGTAAAGTCTTAACTGACTGTGATGTTTCCATCCTACCTGCCTATGTCAGCTGTTATTTCCGACTCTCTGTGTCTCTCTCTCTCTGCATCTCTCTCCGATCTCTACTCCAGCGTCCCGGGTGCTGCCGCGGGGTCCACTTTCTTCCCCGCCCACTCTCTCTCCCCCCCCCCCCCCTTCTCTCTCCCCCCCTACTGCCGAGGCCGCCTACTATATAACCTCGTGCCACGGCAGATCTCTCGCCTACTTCAGCAGTTTTTTTCTTGCTGTGGTTGTCCCACCTGATGACGATTGCTTGTGTTGCGATCGAAACGTCGTGACCTATTAATTTTCTACCTACGTGACTTTACCGAAAGAACCAACGAGTATTTGAACACTAATCTAATAAAAAAAACATATATTGATTAGTTTTATATAGCGTCGTAAATGAAAACTGCATCTCACAAGCGCTGAGATACCTCGTGTAGCCTTAACGGACTTTTGGGGAAAGTGATGTTTGCACACGAGGAGGTGGGTGGCCTAAACCACTCCCAGCTACCTTTGTCTCCCCAGGGTAGATGTTTACACACCGCACCACGTACTCATTTGAGGCTGAGTCGACCCAGGGGAATCGTTCAGATTATCATAACTGGTGTTGGCCATTAGTGAGAGTCGAACTCGGGTCACCGAGATCGTAGGACATCACGGTAAACCGCTACACTTCCGCCTCCCACGTGGACGCATTGGCAGACGCGCACACTCGCATACCACGCACTCACACGCGCCCTTCGCTATATCCCCCTGCTGCGTAGCGCTACCGCAGCACCACGGTAGGCGTGCCGGCCGGGGACGCCACGCTCACTTGTTGTGGTCGGCGCCCTTGAAGTAGGCGCTGATGGACTCGGTGAAGGCGGCGGCGATGGGCACGGAGTCGTGAGCGCTCAGCGTGAGCGGACTGGGGCCCCGCGACGCTCCCACTGCAATTACAACGCCGACGACGAGTCACGACGATGCCATCGCGTCGTGCCACTCGCTCCCTACCTCCGGCCATATCCTGCAGCGGCCGCTTGCTGCGTAGTAGACACGAGACCCCCCCCCCCCTCGCCTCCCCCGATATCTGTCCTAACCGTATCCCACCAAAGTCTTTCCCCTAAGTCGCCAGCCTCGCGGATATCAGAAGCAGAATATTTATCTATACTGGAGGAATCTGATAAGCTGTAAAGCACTTTTTCACAGGTGTCCAGTCAGGGCATGTCACATCAATCCGGTGCCCATCTCGGTGCCAACGAGGTGGTAACAATGAGATAAAATAAATAAGACGAGTCAACGACAATCTTGCATTGTGATGACCCACTGAATAAGTCTGGGGAGAGGTCTATCGTTACCGTGCCTAGCTAGCCTACCATTATCATCATCATTCTCACTACCATCATCAGCCATGAACTATCCTATGCGCTGCTAGATGAAGGCCTCTCCATAGCCATCTCAACCCAAAACGAATTAACTCGAGGGAAAGATTGAAGAACCAAACAATAACATTATTAAAAAGCAGCGTACAAGATAAACACGAGCAAAAAGATGTAATGTACGGGTGTGCTAAACAACTGAGAGATATCTGTCGGAGCGACAGAACTGGCAAGTATGTCTACCCAAGGACAGCTCCTGAAGAATCATCTTACCTATCTGAAACAAGACACCGCCTTATGCATGAGCAAAAGCTTAAGAATAAACAGGAGACATACGGCACGACAACAACGTACTCCACACTGAGGCGATCACCATCACCCAACGCCACGGTCGCTGTACCCCCGGCCCAATAACAGCACGCTCTCACCGCACAACTACATTTGCCAAATTAGAAAGTAATGACTCAAGTTCAGCACAAACAGGAATATCTAGTGGGGGGGGGGGGGGGGGAGCGGCGTGTGAGATTGCCTCGGGGCAGCGTGAGACGAGGTGGGGGGGGTGAGGTGGTGGTGGGAGGGGGGGGGGCGCGGCATTCGTGGTGGTATTGCAATGCAGTCCACGCGTCTCCACAGCCTAGAGCAGTGATGGGCCACCCCCCTAGACGAGTTGGCGGGCCATACGAGCGGCCCTCAATCGTGCACTAATCATGACCCCCACGCGCATCACCCTGGATACACTCAGAGCAGGCCACCACGAAGAGCTGCAGGTTGCCCACCACTGGTCTATAGGCCGTCTGTTTATTATTAATAGACTATACTCTTTGGTTCTATTCAGTAAAGTCACGTAAAAGTATAAAACAACAAAAATAAAAAAAATTCACGACGTTTCGGCCACAACACAAGTGGCCTTCATCAGGTGAAGGGACCAGACTGTCTTGAGGACAGCGCTGGAGTGAACACAGCCAAGCTCAGACCGCGACCTTTAAGCTCTGTGTGAGAGGAAACAAGGCGCCTTGACAAAGGAATTAGCATAAAAATTAGCATTTAATTGGCGGATCAATCTGTAAACCTGTGGTGACTGCTATATCGGGGAGACGAAACAACATGTCTCTGACCGAATTCGCGAGCACAAATCAGATTTGAAACACGGCAGAACGAATTCTTCTGCCGTAGCTGATCACTGTTACAACGCTGTGGGTGATCACGATATAATTTTCTCCGATACCAAGGTTCTTTGCAAACCCACGGGTTTTTATCAGAGATTTGTTCACGAGGCAATTCAGATTTACAAACACAGACACAATTTCAACCGAGAAGATGGCTTCAAATTAAGCAACCATTGGAAAGATGTTCTAAATCGAACCAAACATTAAACTAATTTTCAATGGTACAGTATATTTTTTCAAGTAGTGGTATCCCAAACTTTCGCAGCTGCTTAAATTCCCTTTTCACACCATCAATAGGGAAACTCCCCCTCCCCCCCTCGCCGGTCTACACGTCTCCCCCTCTCTACACCGTTAATCATGCTAAGTCCGCCAAGTAAATGCTAATTTTTATGCTAATTCCTTTGTCAAGGCGCCTTGTTTCCTCTCACACAGCGTAAAGGTCGCGGTGTGTTCTTGGCTGTGTTCACTCCAGCGCTGTCCTCAAGACAGTCTGGTCCCTTCACCTGATGAAGGCCACTTGTGTTGTGGCCGAAACGTCGTGAATTTTTATTTTTAATTTTTGTTGTTTTATACTTTTACGTGACTTTACCGAATAGAACCAAAGAGTATGGATCCTTGCAGTCACGAAAGCGTCAAATCTAGAATTATTAATAGACTGTTCATTTGGGAGGCAGCCAATACCCTGGTTTAAATATATATAAATATATAAAGGCGGGGGCCGGGGTTGCAGGGGGGCGTATCGGAGCTTAAGCGTAGGCTCTCAGCTGCCACGTGCACAGCACAAGAGCCGTGCAATGAAAGATAATTTGACTTAAAAACTTCAGAGCAAATCTTGAGACAGGTTTTTCGGGGGGCTGGTCCACATTGAGATGTTTGGCCAATTAAATGTTTTATATATACGTGGTGGGGGGTGGGAAACCAGATGATCCCGAGAAAACTAAACCAAGGGCCAATCGTTTTCACAAAGCAGCAAGCTGTGAATCACGGCAGCAGCTGTAGTTCATCTGTACCCAGCGTTTCAACTCCAGTCCCTGTGATCCCCCCCACGTTTTTGGCTGCCTGTTAGGCGATTGCCAATATTTCCTGGTCCTCACACAAAACAAATTCAGCCACTGCACGCGGCTGACGGTTGGTAATCACGGAACACCCTCTCGTGCGAACGCAGGGGGTCGACGTCAGGACTGGATTTGACGAACCACTGGAGATTGTAGACATTCGTTATACTGTGGAGCAGCAATACCACCGGCAGAGAAAACACAGCAGCGGCTATTATCGGCGCCACTCGCCACACCGCGCAGGCACGCGCAAACGGACAGCGGCGACACGATTAGAGACACCGCACACTGCACAGCTGCACAACAACCCGTGAGCGATGCTACTCACCGCGCCGCACTGCAGCGACACCGTTGAAAAAGCTACACACTGCACCGCACAGCAACATCAAACGTCACAATGGTAATGGCCATCACGGGGTTGCGGCATACCGCACAGCAACGCAGAAACGACAGCCGCCAGGAAAGTTATGATCGCGCTGTGTGTGCGTGCGTGCGTGCGGCAGAGCAACAAATCCGTACGATGTGAAGTCTGTGCGATGCAAAAACGCAAACAATGAGTGAAAAAACGTCACGCGGAATGCTTGCGCACGGTGACACGACAACGATGGTGATGTGCAAATGTGTTCGCAAAGCACGTGACAATTCACCCCACTGCCGAGTTGAATTATCACAACTGCAGATTACGAATTGATTCAAGAAATTATTCCATCATGGCCCCGTGAGATGTGATGACGCCGTAAGGAACAACCTCACCACGCTCTGCAGTAACGAGACACGATGATTCCCTTCATGATGCGACAACAACCCTATGCGACAATACGACCCTGTACAACACTACGACCCTGTACAACACTACGACCCTGTACAACACTACGACCCTGTACAACACTACGACTATGTACAACACTACGACCCTGTACAACACTACGACCATGTACAACACTACGACCATGTACAACACTACGACCCTGTAGAACACTACGACCCTGTAGAACACTACGACCCTGTACAACACTACGACCCTGTACAACACTACGACCCTGTACAACACTACGACCCTGTACAACACTACGACCCTGTACAACACTACGGCCTGTACAACACTACGACCCTGTACAACACTACGACCCTGTACAACACTACGGCCTGTACAACACCACCACCCTTTACAACACTACGACCCTGTACAACACTACGACCCTGTACAACACTAAGACCCTGTACAACACTAAGACCCTGTACAACACTACGGCCTGTACAACACTACTACTCTGTACAACACTACGACCCTGTACAACACTACGACCATGTACAACACTACGACCCTGTACAACACTACGACCCTGTACAACACTACGACCCTGTACAACACTACGACCCTGTAGAACACTACGGCCCTGTAGTACACCACGACCCTGTACAACACTACGACCATGTAGAACACTACGGCCCTGTACAACACTACGGCCCTGCACAACACTACGACCCTGTACAACACTACGACCCTGCACAACACTACGCCCCTGTAGAATACCACGACCCTGTACAACACTACGACCCTGTACAACACTACGACCCTGTACAACACTACGACCCTGTAGAACACTACGGCCTGTACAACACTACGACCCTGTACAACACTACGACCCTGTACAACACTACAACCCTGTACAACACTACGACCCTGTACAACACTACGACCCTGTACAACACTACGACCCTGTACAACACTACGACCCTGTAGAACACTACGACCCTGTAGAACACCACGACCATGTAGAACACTACGACCCTGTAGAACACTACGACCCTGTACAACACTACGACCCTGTACAACACTATGACCCTGTACAACACCACGACCCTGTACAACACTACGGGCTCTGTACAACACTACGGCCCTGTAGAACACTACGGCCCTGTACAACACTACGGCCCTGTACAACACTACGACCTGTACAACACTACGACCCTGTACAACACTACGGCCTGTACAACACTACGACCCTGTAGAACACTACGGCCCTGTAGAACACTACAACCCTGTACAACACTACGACGCTGTACAACACCACGACCCTGTACAACACTACGACCCTGTAGAACACTACGGCCCTGTAGAACACTACGCATGCAATGCACGACATGAACAATCTCCGCTCCCCAGGCTGAGTGCGGCCTGAGCCCCCCCCAGCTCACCGTATGTGGGCGTCGTGGCGGCGCTCATGGACGTGGAGGACGACATGGAGGAGGAGCTCTCGGCGCGCGCCAGCGGGGCCAGCGGGGGGCTGAACGCTCGCGGCTGCACGGGGACGGGAAGGTGGGGGGCAAGGGGGTGGATGGGTGAGGACGAGGGGCAATGGAGCGGGGGGGGGGGGGTAGTTGATGGGTGGGGGGGCGGGGTGAGAGAGGATGAGACCATCGACTCACGAAACCATAGAACCTGGTTCAATCGCAGAGGTGAGCGGCTGAAACGAATGCAGGAACTTGACGCTTTTGGGTCAGCGTCACGGCCATCGAGAACCCACCGTGCCACCCCAACCATCCGCCGCCCTTACGTTCTCCTCGATGCCCCCGAGTTTGCTGGGCAGGAGTTTGGGCCGTGACGGGGGCCGGGGTGGTGGAATGAGCGATGTACCCCCCCCTCCTCCTCCTCCGCCTCCCCCCCCTCCGCCATTCGTCGTCTGCGGGCTCTTGGTGGTGTGAACTGGAGAGGGCCCTGAAACAAAAGAAATGCTGCACGTAAACGAAGGCAACGTAAGCGGACTTAACTCTGCATAACGACGGTTACCAGGTCCCTGGTTCCTTCTGAATCGGAATGAGCTTCGATGCTGATGGTCATCGCCATCGGCCGTGATCTATCCACCGATGGACAAAGGACCGCGCCCATGCCGTCTCTCACGGTCTTGCGAAGCAACGATGCATTCTAGCTCCCGCACAACGGTCCGATCACATCGCTCCGGCTCCACGTTGAGCGTTCCCTCCTTTGGCTGCCAATCCGTGGTCAGTCTCGACCATCAGCCATCACCGCTCCAAAGTCCACATGCTTTTCCTTTAAGCGGTGGATTTGATGCCTATAACTTCCGTGTGTTCTCTGATACATGCATTCCTCCTTGTTTTTCTCAGTGTAAATCTTCTTTGCTCGCTCTTCAGCTTATGTTACATTTTCTTTGTCGATGTCCCATGCTCCCGATCCGTATGCCACAGTGGGCGATATAAAACATTAAGATAAATAATTGCGATTGCACGCAAGAAAACAACAACCTGCGGTTATATTCGTAGATTGTAAAAGTGTACCTCGCTCAGTGTCCAAGGGTGTCCCAAATACGCTCTACAAACGACAATAAACACATTTTCGCTAACTTTCTTCATGGCTTGGCCAACTTCAGCAGCGAGTGACATCTGAGCCTGCATTAATCAGCGAGGTAAAGTACGGTGAATCAAGAACCATATATTATTTGTTGAATAATATTATTGTTATTTTTTTAACGAGCGGCGAATTTGCCAATTGGCAGCTGTTGACTGCCGGATCTTTTGCGGTGCGGCCTTTGGTCAAAGCTCCCCTCTGCTGTTGGGCAGAGCATGAAAGGAGCACGGGACTCGTAAACAAAACGAGTATCTTGTCCGATGACACCATCTGCCAGAGAGCCCGTGGGGCACAAGTGAACCCACACACGCACGCATTCATCGAGCGCAGGCAGACATCTGGAGAAGCATATTTTTAAACGTGCTGCCATTGTCATGTCAATCATTAACGTCATCGGGCGAGTTCCATCCACTGCTGGATGAAGCCCCCCGCCCAAAGTCGTCGCTATCGCTAACGGTCTTGCGTTGCAGAGATCCATCCAACACGTGATAGGCCTCTGACCCCAACACACGTGATTTTGAACGGTGTTACTCGGTCAACCCCACCACAGCTCAAATACAAAAAACGTTACCCCAACTCATCACCCATGGCCATGGACGTCCAAGCACCACGGACAGTGACCCCCTTCAGGTTGTGAACCATGGACGTCCAGCACCGTGGACAGCTCCGTCAGCACCGGATCCACGGCGCTGCAGCTCGCACTCACTCACGTACCGGCGTCGCCCGCCCCGCGCCCACCGGCCGTGCCCACGGCCTGCTGAACGCCGTCGAGTAACCCCTCCTCCGCTGCTCCATCCGACAGGGCACACTCAATGCTGGACAATTCTGTCGGCGCTAGTTCGGAGCTGCCCGCGAGTTCCTCCGGCGGTGTCTCCTGCGGCACCCGCGGCAGCTGCGTCATGGCCCGCGGTTTTTCCGCCCTGGGCGAGGGCGGTAGCGGCGGCGTGCCGGGCGGCCCCGAGGACGACGGCAGCCGCGGCGGCGGGGTTCTGGGTGGGCCCGTGCTGGGCAGCGGGGGCGGCGTCCCGCCCGACGGCGTGGCGCAGCGTCTCCCGCAAGCGGCCGGCGACGCCGGCGAAGACTTCGTCGCCGGCGTCGCCGGGAGCGGCGGGGGACTGGAGGGCGGCGGCGTCGGCGGCCGCGGCGCCGGCTCCTCCTCGGGGGCGACGGGCGGGGACGGCGGGGACGGCGGGGACGGCGGCGCCAACGCCGAGGGCGGCGTCGGCGTCAGCCGCTGCGCGGGAGGTCGGGGGGGCAGCGGCGGAGGCGGCGGGGGGCTCACGGGCGGCGTGGAGCAGCGGGTCGCTTCGCCGACGGGCGAGCCGGGCTCGGAGAGCGGCCCGAAGCGGTAGACGGCGAGCGAGTCCGAATCCCAGTGCATGGGCAGCGATGTGCGGCGCGGCGACGGGCTCTCGGGCGGCGACGGGGACGTCTCGGCGCCGCCGCCGCCGCCCACGGCCTCCTCCAGGGGCAGCGAGCTCGGCAGCGATCCCCGGCGCTCCAGGTAGACTCTGACGGTCGGCCGGGGTGGCGGCGGTGCCACGCCGGTAACCACGCCGCCGCCCCCCCCGCCGCCGCCGCCGCCGCCGTCGTCGTCGTCGAACGACACCCAGTGGTCGTGCTGCTGCGCCGGTTCGGCGCCGGCGCCGGCGGTCGCGCTGCCGTTTTCGCTGCGCGTGCCCGGGGAGCGAGCCGTGCTGCGGTCGCCGCTGCCGGGGGACGTGTGTGCCGAGGAGGCGGTGAGCGGCGGGGCGGAGGCCGTAGCGCCGCGACCCCTACTGCCTTTGTGCCTCCGCGAGGCTTCGGTCCGCGGCGGGGGTCGGGGGTCGGAGAGGGCAGTGGTGGGAGGGTGGTGGAGGAGGGCGGTGGCGGAGGAGGTGTAGGAGGGGCGGACGTGGAATGGAAACGGAAGGAGGGGAGAGGACACCAATGCAGGGAGAAGGTGAGGAAAGAGAGACAGAGACACAAACCACAAGAGACACAACAGGGCGAGAGTTCGGATGAGGGGTGGAAATGCAAAAGGCGGTGATGGAAGAGACACGAATATAAAACATCCAGACATCAGTAAGGCAGCAGCAGCAGCAAATGTACACACAAGACGTACGAGAGAGCAGTTGCCCAAGCATTTGATTTTTCAACCGATCACTGTGTTAGGCAAGGCGAGGAGCCCTGCTTTGGTAAGGCATTAGTAAGCAAAGAAAGTGAGGCAGCGACAGTCCGCCTGATCGTTAGTGAAGCAGAGTCAAGCGGAACTGCGACTCGCAGCGCGGGCAGCTGAGAAGCGAAACAGCTCAGAGCAAAGGGGAGCACCCTCCTGCCCTCCTCCATCTCTACCACCGGTGTCTACCGTGGTCACCCCACACAAGATCTAGCACCACCCCCTCCTCCCCACTCCGTGTGACTTTTTAAGTACACGTTCAAATACGTCACCTGTGCTTGGCCCCAATGGTTTGGTAATTGTCCGGTGAACACCAGATGTTAACGTTTACTGGGAGTAAAAATAAGGCCGTCGAGCACTCGCGATGAAGCTTCAGTCAAGGGGGAAATCCGAGCGCTTGTTAAATTCAAGCGGTCGAAGGATCCGCCAACGTGAGACGTTCACGTCAATGGGGATTCATCTTCGCTGGCAGGAAAGGCTGGACGGTGAAGTCCGTGTTCAGGCTGGACCTCCGCTTGGCGGTGCGAGGACGACGTCGCCATTGTCGAGGCGCTGTAGGCTTCGCGGTAGTCGGTGGGGGGGGGAGGCGGACGGGGGAAAAAACCCGAGTCGAAAGTGCATCGGCGCGTCGTCACCGAGGATTTGCGGAGACGAAAAGGCGACGGGCAAAGTGGGCGCCCTGGCGCACGTCTTCGGCGGGGATAGTGGGAGCGGAATGCAATGTCCGTGGCCGGCTGGAAGTCCCAAAACGATAACGGAGCAACGGTGGAGATGCTCCTCGTGTCGGGGGGGGGGGGGGGGGGGGGGTGGTAACGCAGCCGCGTCCACTGCGTTTGCGGTAGTTCACGACGTTGTGCTGGGATCAAGAAATCGATTGACCGCTCGGACGAAGTGCACTGAAGATGACGACCGGTGATCTGATTATGATGAAATAGTTGGAAGTTTATTTTGTAGGAAGGGTAAATCCTTTTCATTTAAACCAGTCTTGGGCCTCCCCTAGGTCAACTTTGCCTTAAATGGTTACTAACTGAAGGGGGCGATTGGGTCTATCTGGCTCATTCGGATAGGAACTACCAGGCCAGCTGAAGGCAGCCATAAACCGGTGTCAACTATTACCCAAGCTCTGTGTCTGTGGTCTGCCAGCAGGGGTGGTGGACACTTGCTATGTGTAACTCCCATTGAGTCATTTGCAGGTAATATTTGCAATTTCAGTAAATTTGGAGCATGACGCCGGCCCACACTACTCTCGCAAGACACGTCACGGGACCATTAAGCTTATGCTGCTATTTGTTTAATGGTTAATACACCTGCAGTATTAACCAGGGCGGCCGATGCCTTTGAACCTGCGCAAAAAGCGGCGAACGCGCTGCCGCCAGGCTATTTGACAGCTCCAAATCGTCAGCAACAAGTTGCATCCGAACACATCCTTGTTCCTCCCCTAGTTCAACTCGGCCTTAAACGAGTAATAGGCACAGCGCGCACGCATCAGCAATAGGAGTGCACAGCCGGCTGGGCGTGGTGCTGACCGCACCAACCTCCACGGTTTGCCATGCCAGCCTGGACAGAGGTGTTCGCGAACAGCAGCCGCCCCCCAAATGGGTTGGCAAAGGCTGTACAGGCGGTCACCGTCCTCGTCTGCGTGTGGGCGGGCGCTACTCACCGGGAGAGGTGGGGTCTGACTCGCCGGCGCCGCCGTAGAGAGGGTCCAGGGCGGCCAGCAGGTCGCTGTTGGTCTTGGAGTTGCCACTGGGGACCAACACAGGCAGGACACTCAACGAAGCCAGCCGCATCGACAACATATCACCGTCGACAACTTCCAACGTGAAATGATTTGAGGTCATTGTTCTATGGCCGTTGGTGGCCCGCAAGGCCATGGGACGGAATCTGCGGAACATTCGCAGGTGTCATTTTTTTTTCATAAAACTCCATGTTTTTTCATGCATGGTGGTCAGCGAAAATGTTACGAGCGTCAACGGGTCCAGAAAGGTTGGGAACCAGTGGGGTAGATCATGAATGGTGATGATGATGATGAGAGCCCAACAAGAGCACAAAGTAACCAGGGACCCTATGGTATGGATGATGAGGTAAGTACGACCGAGTACGTTAACATGATTAAAAAGATGTTTCCATAACACCACCCTTAGAGGGCGGCAGAGTGTTATGAGGCCAAAAGTCTCTCACAAGCCTTGTGTATGTACGTTGAACTTCTTTCGCACCGTACGTAGGCAACCGACGTGCTGATTTGCAGGTGCGGGCTGTTGTGCGTGGGTCAAGTCGATGAGGTCAACAGTGACCGGGGTGGTGGAGGGCAAAGCCGAACGAGGCTTCGGGTCTCCTGTGCGATGCATTTTTTTTTATTAAGGATTGCAGTTTAAAGGCAGACGCACTTTGCGTGTAGAATGGACTAACAAAGACTTGTAAACATAGTATAAAAAATATACATGGCATATACATTTTTTTTTTAATTTCTGATTGTTACACCCACAACTAGGTGTCTTGACGAGAGACACTAGAACGGTGAACAATTCTTGCCAAAACGTGAAAATTTACTCGTAAATTACTGAAGTGGCAAACGCACAGCAACCGTCGCCCCCCCCCCCCCCCCCCCCACTGTGAGTGCTCACTACTCGTCGCGGCTTTCCCTGGGTAAAGCAACTTAACAACAGCGATGACGTTCAAGGGAACCCTGGCTGTGGGGAGACGGTGGATCGGTGGTGGCGGTGGTCGGGTCTCGCACCTGATGTTGTCGGGTGTCGGGGTGGAACGCCGTGGCCTTGACAGCTCGTCCGCTATCAGAGGAGAAGAGACCGGAGGAGAAAAAAAAAATCATGAGCGCGGCGCCGGTCATCGTCGCTCACTTCACAGCAGGCCAAGTCGATTTCGCTCGGAAATTCACCACTGTGACAAGCCGGTGGAAATGAGACAGGAGGTGTCACATAACTACTCCTGAGATCTCTTCAAAGCGACCTCCAACCCCACTCCACATTCAGCGCAGAATCAATATTTAAAGTCACGGGTTATTTTGTTATTTTGCTTGTTCATTCCTCGATAGGGCCGGGGGTCGATCAAATGACTCCATTTGAAAATCACAGGTGGCGCAAACCAGGATTCGAACCCAGGACTCGGTGTGGGTGTCAGCTGAGCGCTATGACCTCCGAGCCACCGGGCCACCTATAACCAGACAAGTTTAAGCCCCCCCCCCCCACCGCGTCAAAAGGCTTTCCAACTAAATATAACTCAGCTGGGCTTCGTAGGCTTCTCTCGTGACCCAGAGAGGAATGCGGGTATTATCCATGAAAGATGTAAACACCTCCATCAACCCCACTGACACCACGAACAGGTAAGTGCAGGTAAGTGGTCGAAAATCTTTAAATAAACATTACTTACTCGACGAGTTCCTTTTAATAGGACCCTGAAAGAAAAGAAAAAACCCGTAAGAAAGGACAAAATGAAACGGAGCGACCGCGCAAAAAAAGGCCAACAACGTCTGGATTTCTCCAACAGGACGGAATGTAATCGGTGGCATTCCGATGGCGGTAGCGCGTGAGCAGGACGGTTGCGGAAGAACAACAGGATTGGCGAGCGGAGTTGAACGTCGATGAGGCTTTGAATGAGACGGTCAGATTTGTGGCGACACAACCGTGCTGCGTTGGGGGATTGCCAGTTGCGACGAACGGCTCCGGAACGTGGGCGGCTTACGTAAATTTCACCAAGGTGTTTTTTTATTTATTCCCCCCCCCCCCCCCCCCCCCCCCCCCGAGTTATAATACGCACACAGGCGGCTCACAACTGATTGTGAGATCAGATCGCCGGCGTGAGTAAATTGTGTTGTACATCCCCTCCTCCACCCAACACAGCCGCCCCCCACACCCCCCCACCCCCGAATCAAATACCGCTGTCACGTGAACACATTGGCCCAATTAATGACTGCTTCAGCATTGTTGAAGAGCAATACGATGCTGAGGCAGCGACAAATTGGTACGTTTTGTTCATCACACGACAACTCTCATCGATTGGCTGTGCCGGGTGGAGGAGGGTGTACGACACACATTTTTACTCGTATGACCCGACATAAAAAACAACTGTGAATCATAATATTGGTCGCGAAAGCCTGTGAGTGCGTTAAAAAATTATGTACAGGTGGATTGACCGAGTAACCAGAATGCACTGGCAGTGGCTTCAGTCCATCATCAGCGCATTCTCCAGCAGACGAGCGCATGCAGCACATTCAGATTCCTGGTCTGGTCGGAGCACAGCACTAGTGAATCATCATTATTAAAATGATTAATCATGAGCATCATCATCATGCTGCGTTTATGTTCTCCCATTGATGGATTCCTCCAATTGCATGCGTTACCTAACACCTATGAGAGTGGAAAACCAAAACGTCACCTAAACGGAGAGCGTTGTAGCCACCGCTGACGTAATGGTGAATTGAATTCTGGTGTCAGGGTAAATGTTACTCTCTCTGCATCCCTTGCTACAGCTGGCCTCCCTCCGAGGAGCAAACAGAGCGCAATGTTGTTTCATGATCATGGCCGTTACGCCACACAGCAACACCTTAGAGGTGACCACGTAGGTCTGCGCCACGTTGCAACACGCCACGTTAAACATTCACGTCGCCTTCAGGTGGGACGTTAATAATTAATCGATAAATATCGGTTTTTAGGAATCGGGATAAGAGCATTGAATCGTGCGTGTTAAAAGCGACCATTTCCATTCTGATTTTATTCCGGACTTTCCTGAGGATTCTTGGCGCGGTTTCAAGCAAAAACGTCGTACGTCATTTCCACATGTTGGTTGTGAGACTTGTCCATTGGCTTACCGGTGAGAGCTGAAACAATAAAAATTGCCGTGTTAAACGCTTGTACACCGCGTGACTATTTCATTTGTTCGGCTACAAGGGAAAAAAATTGGCCAGATCCTTACGAGGTCTAACCCAATAATCCACTTCGAATCATATTTCCAATTCGTATACATTTTGATTCAAATGTTTCCATTGAGTAAGATGGCGTACGTATCATGCGGATTAAGAGCTAAAATCCTCCACCGTCCGACAAGAGCCAAACAAATCAAGTTGTGACCCGACGCAAACGTGCCAATTTGATTTTGTTTTTGTTCGTGGAAACGCAGCGGCCACCGGGAGGTTCTCCATCGCCAAGGGTGCCGATAAGTGGCTCGTGAAAAGCAAGGCGTGATCCCAAATCGCGAATTCTGATGTGCATAATTATTTGACTTCGGTGGACGTGCTGACGTGTATTGATTCAAGCAAGGCCAGTGACACATCATGAACACGCCCGACTGACTCCGTTTGGCTTACTGCATCTGCGTTTCCATTGAAGTAGCATCCCGACCGATCGATCGTCTTTAGTATCCGTCTCACAATTCGCCTCCCTGGAAATTCCACTAATCGCTGCGATTCAGGATCTCGTTTTTAATTGGACAAGTTTCTATTGTTTTCTTAATCGTTCTGTCAGTTACATAAAATTTGCATAAATTGTAAATTAATTAGTACATTTACATTCGTATGCATTTATCGTGATTGAAGGAATCCGTTTTAATCAAGGAATTGTTACCTGCTTAACTTTTTTACATATCTATGTCACGGATAGACATGATGGCGAAGATGACGAATAGCGACGACATGTTGAGTTGGAGGATTTCTCCATTGTATTTCTGAGTACAGAATACTGATTTCAACGTCAGAAATTATGCCACCTTCAAGTACTTCCTTAAGGCACGAGATGGTCATTGTTGGTTGAGGTTCATGTAAATTGAACAACATCGCACATCTCAAAGGGTGGGTTTTTTTAATATTCCAGCAGCGTTACCAACGGCACAGTTGTTGCTGTCATAAATTTCGACCCCTCGCCGTCATGAATTTCATTTATTGCATCGCCAATTTGGTTAAATGTCGATTTCACCGTGACATTAATGTCAATTCAGCAAAGACAACAGAGACGACACAGGGACGCCAGGGTTCGGTTGTTTTCAACGAGAGCAGAAAAAAAACGAGATTTGTACAAGGATCACGCACAACGATTAGGAGGCCAGGCAAACGTGATCACAACATATCGAGCAGCAAAACACGTGACTAACAAAAGTGGGACAGACATTATGAGGGCAAAAAATATATTACGTTTGACAGATTCAAAAACAAGGATGCGTTCAAGAGTTTTTGCCTGTGAAATGTGAATCTCAGACATCGACACATATGTGAAAAAAACAGCAGACATACAAAGACAAAGGTGGCCTATTGGCAACGCTTGCCCCGAACTTGCCGCAGGAGTAAGCGTTGTTAGTAAGCTACTAAATAATGTTGGCATGATGGACGGGGCGTGGTAATTGTGGCCATGACATCACCCCCATTGCTTTCTCTCCCCAGCGCTGCGGATCACACACCGCAGCAGGTAATAATGAAAGGCTGAGCTAATAATGAAAACCGGTTAAGATATTACTCACCACTGATGTTAGCCGTGGCCAGGAATCAAACTTGGGCCACGGGTTACATAACACGGTATGTTAACCGCTACACCACTGGTCTTTGTTACACCCCGAATGCAGAGACGAACATCCCCCTAATCGTGTACCCTTAATACAAAGATCCCCCCCCCCCAGTATATCCTTAACAGACTATAGGGGCAAGTGCTGTTAGCGAGCACCTATGAAGGCCGGCACGGGAATCAAACGCTAGACGCCAGGGTTGGTAGCACAGCGCGCTAAACTCTGCGCCATCGCTATCCACACCTTATTACACAAAGACAAAGACCCCCCCATATAGCCTTAACAGACGGTAGGGGCAAGTGCTGTTAGCGAGCACCAATAAAGGCCGAAAGGTACACGAAGGGGTGGGTGGCCAGCACCACGCCCGACCGCCTTTGTCTCCCCAGTGGCGATGTTTTTACACACCGCACCAGGTACTCATTTGAGGCTGAGTCGACCTAGGGGAGGCCCAGGACCGGTTCAGATAATCGTAACTGGTGTTGGCCGTGAGCGGGAATCGAACCTGGGTGGCCGGGTTTATAGCGGAGCGCGCTAACCGCTACACTATCGCTCCCCACTTTTACACACGCACGCACAGACATCACTGCTGTTCCTATCAGATGGAAATCGTTCGTTGGTGCCGTGCAAAGTCAGGGCGAGGAGACACGCTCGCAAATAACAAACGCCACACACCGGGCTCTTCCGTTGGCAGGAAAGCAGGAAATTTTGCACTGGAGAGCAATCGCTTTTGGTTGCCACTGACTCTGATTTTATCTTCTTTTAGATGTATAGAGAGCCTTTGTTCAAGGTGCTTAACATAATAATAAAAAACACAATATAAGTAAGAATGATTTACATGACAGGGGCAAGCAATGGATGGAATGAGTGGCCACGATAGAGGGTACGATAGAGGGTACGTAAGAGTTACAGAAGGGATGGGTAGGGGAGGGAAGAGGAAAAGAATGGGCAATAGAGAAGAGGTGAGGATTTAAGAGCGGAACGAGCTTAAGGAGGGGCACTGCTTAATGTGCAGGCATCTAACTGCAAGTGCTCACGATCCTGAATGGGTCTGGCTTGAAGACAGACGCAACCCCAATAAAGCGATAAGCCGCTGTTGCGTTTTTGTTATCGAAAGCACCGTCGATTCACGGAAGCGCGGGAATTTAAATTTCCTCCAATTCAGTTTGTCCTTGATACACAAAGTTGATGCAGGGGGGTGCTCCGGTATACCGATTCTCTTGACAAAACCCCCGATAGTGTAGTTCTATGAAGGCTCATTTTGACGCAGATGATAACAAGGCTTTGCACGCTGCTCAACTGCAGAGCTCGGGAAATGCGATTTGACAGCGTCTTCGAACAATGGTTTGAAACTCATGACGGACAGCTTGGGACGTACGACCCCACGTACGTCTCCGCATTAAAACATCATCGGGGGGGGGGGGGGGGGGGGGAGATTTCAGTTCGTGGGATTGCCATTTCTTTTTTTGTTCAAGCAGGGTTGCGTACACGAAGGCCACGTGTTACACTCGCAAGCAAACGGCGTGCAAGCAGGCTGCCATACGGAGAACAGAACAACGACAACAACGGTGGCAATCAAACAAATGCGACGACGACGACGACAAGTGAAACGAAAGCAAAACCAAGCGAGGGGACGCGGGGGCCTGACTTGGCCAACGTCCGACTGAGCGGGCGCCACACTGGATTTCGTGAGGTCCTTTCCGAGGCAGCTGTTTTGGTTTGAATCATTTTGACTCAAACGCGGTGAGTTTGGCGCCAAAAAAAATAAAACCCAACACGAGTGCTGCGACGACACCGCCGTCACGCCCGGCATGGCAGGGCAAATTTTTTTGCGTGCTAGGGGTCGAACGATTTGGGGGTCAGGATTCAATGAAGTATTTTTTTGGTTTTCTTTCACTTGGCGGTCACAGGAGGGAAGGCGACCCCATTAGATGCAACATATACGAAGAGATTCGAAGCACCATCGTGAGCTTAAAAAGCAACATGAGTCGATGCATCGTTGCGCTCTAAATATGAAGGGGGGGGGGGGGAGTGGGGGCATTACTGGACATCTGTGAAAAATATCTTTAGAGCTTATCGGATCCCTCCAGTATGAATATATATTCTGATTGTGACCTACTTTCTTCACGCGTTGGTCTGTGACGTCAAAGCGGTTGTCGCAGACTCTTGCCATTCGTGATGGGAATTTAACAACGATTTAAACGAATGACAGCGCACAACACAACATGCGATGAGCGACTTCGCACCAATTCCACAAAAGCAACAGCTGTAAAAATTAAACAAATAATGAGACCCAAAGAAGCGACACACGAAGGATGATAGAGGCAACGTCAAAACTCCACGTACGCTTACCGGACTTCGCCTCTGCCCGCGGTAACACACACAGGCCGCCGAGTTTGGGGAACGCACACACACACACACACAACAAAAAACGCGTCGTTACACACGGCCGGTTACTTGCCGCGCCACTCGGCGAGCGTGTCACATCATGGCCGGCAATGTTACGGCAACTCGCTGGAGTGTGCAGTCGAGTGCGCGGCCGCATGGCGCGTGTGCGAATTCATAAGAGCATCTGGAGGTACCCTTGCACAACCTCGGGGTGCCGATTGGGAGACCATGACTATTGGTTACTGCAGCAAACAACGGTAAGGCTTACTACCTCATGATATGGCAACGCTAACTCCAGCATTGTGGGCAGTGGCCCCTCGCTTGCCCTTGGTCGAGTCTGCCCACCGGGTTCTCTGTGCGAGAGAGAACCTCCGAGGGTGGAAGACGAGGGGAGGCCATCGAGGCGTCGGCCACAGGCCTCGTGGCTGCGTGACTTGGGGGGCTTTGCTAAGAGGGACCCCCCACCCCCACCGAGGGGTTGGCGCAGGAGCGTGGATGCTGCCATCTCGGCGTACGATACCGCGAGCAGTTTCGCAAGCGCAGGCCCGAATGCACGAAACATGGAGCGGGCAGCAACAACCGAGACCCTTGGCAGTTGTAATCGATAAGAGTGAACAAACACGTGCCTTGACTTGAGCAAGGTTATGAGAGCTTGGGAGCAGAGAAGGACACGGGAGGGAATTCCAAGCGGTTCTATTGACACCAATGCAACTGCTTCTGAATGGCATCAACCCTACGACACCAATGCAAGGAGGCCCCCCAAGCCTCCACTCCCTACCACAACCCCGAAACCAAGACAGCCTCCCCCCCCCTTCCTGTCACGTCTCTGTCTGTCGTCGTACCCCACCTCCACTGCTGGATGAATGCCGCCCTACACCGTGACGGTCACGATAGCAGTGGGCAGGGGGTGGGGGGTAACAGCTAGCCACTAATGGACATCTGTTAAAACTACTGGACGTAAAAAGTTAGACGAGCTACACAAATGTATTGCCTGTAAGCGACCACGTTTGCACGTTGTTTACACGGCGCTTTTTATGGATGCTGTGTTTTTCTATTCCTCACTATAATGCCATCGTGTTTTAGGCCGTATCTGCATTACAATTAATATGGCAGATTTAAATGAGTATGTTTTACAGATAAAGCGTGCTATTTGATAATAATCTATATTTAAATCAATTATTCTTTTTAAAAAAAGAACATTTTTATATTGCGATTATGATTTGCTGTTTTTTTTTTTTATTTCGTGTATCCGTTAACGTTTATTGTCGATGTATTTTACTGCGACTTGTTGCGTCTGTCGGAGAAGCGGCGGTGTTGTTTTTTGTTGACGAAACCCGATTCAAGAGCTTCTTGGCTCACGGGGCAATTCAAAAATAAACTGAAACTGATCGGATTTCTCCAGTACGAATAAATATTCAGATGCTGACAATTTACCACCCCAGCGCAGTGTGTGTTTGCAATGCTTCATCTTGTATCGTCCCCCCCCCCACAGCCACCTACCGCGGTGGCGGGCGAAGACAGCATGATGTTGCCGATGGAGGCCTTCAGCTGCTCGATGGCCGCGGCTGGGTTGTGGTTGGAGTCGCGCGGCTGCACCGGTTTGATCTCTACGTGGAACCGCTTGCGGTCCTCGTCGTCCGAGTCGTCGTCGCTCGATGAGTAGAAGTGGTTCTCGCGCGGCTGTGCGGCGCCGTCAAGGAGAGCGGCGGCGGAGAGACACGGCAGGTGGCGGTCGGGGCGGCTCGGAGGCGAGAGAATGCGTTTGTGTTGTCACCGCTTTGGAACGCGGGTCGCGACCAAACGTTGTGGCTTTTACCCTCGGCACGCACCGGTGAGCGTCAAGTCGTAACTAATTGGCACGTTGTTTCCGTGACAGACCTTACTAGTCGGGTGGTGGCGAGTTTAAGGACACATTTGTATTTACACGATCGAACCCAGAAACAAACTTTTTCAGGGTCGTAGCGTTAGTCTAGTCGACGGGAGTTTTACGCCGAGCATTTCCGTACACACCGCTGCCAAAGCGGTCTCTTAATTTCAGCTTTCGCTTTCCGCCGAACGCAACCGAGAAGTTCACCGATAACACCGACGCACCAATCGCACGTGGGAAGAACACACGCCACTCCTGGCCAGACCATTTCCTTCAGAGAGCTTTGTGGGAGAGGTGCCGCCACTGAACCAGAGGACTTTGGGTTTTCTCGGAAGTGGGGGGCCCTTATAGCAAGCTGCGGTGCGCGTCAGACCTGAAATCAGTGTCACGACGGCAACCACGTCGTCTGAAATGAATCCCCATCGTAATCTCGGACAACGACACTTCTGCTGCTGTTGCCGTCATTGCAATTAACCACGGGTCTGGTGTTCGTCCGGCGAACAAGAGGATATCGTTCTGATTGGGCTCCGGTCGAACGCTGAAGCCTTCATCGTCCACCTCCGGGGAGTTCTACGCAAGACGGAGGGGAGAGAGAAAAGCAGACGACAACGGGAAAACGCAAGCAACAAAACGTTACAACGCAGCGCTTCCGCTTCTTTGTTGCGGGAGACGCGGACGGACGAGACGCGGCCCACCAAGTTTCCGATTCGGATTTGAATGAAGCGGTCTTTCTTTGCAAACGAAAGCTGCCTGCAAAAAAACGACAGCCAATCGATGTATAACATCCTTCCGATGAAATGTATAGTACTTACCAATGGGATTAAGATGTATGCTTCCTAGTTATTGTTGTCAAACAGATGTGCAATTTATGATGCATTGAATGCGTTTTCGCTCGAAACTGGCGACAAGTGACGTATTCCAACCGGAGACAGTTAAAATCGGCGACGCTGCTGTAAAAACCGACAGCAGCAGATGCCTGTAAAAGGCAAACTGTTCAATTTTGGAAAACGCTAAAAAGTTATCCGTGACTTATTCGAATGAAAACAGGGTTGGAGCAGACATTTCTTCCCCTACTCGTTAACAGAAACTGAGCGACCGCCATCATCGGAAAAATCCGGTTTAAGACGGCACGAGCCGCCTTCATCTCTGCGGAAAGCAGGCCATGGTCGTGGTGACGACGATGATGAGTGGCACCGAGGTTGTGCGAGCGAGTGAGCCGCACACTGCGGCAAAGTGTGCAACACATTTGGCGCCACCGTTGACAAAGGAGCCCCTTGTGTGCATTTAATTACGATTTTTTTTCAACAACCATCGGTGGCAAAGATTCGTTATAACACGGTTGTCAATAACGCGCCACCCGTGCCAACCCTTGGCCCCCACGCCGTGACATTCCACATTCCGGAAAGAGGAAGGAAAAAAAACCCAAACCGGCAAATTTGTAGGGCGAGCTAAATAAATAAATAACCCCGGACAAACAGGCGGTACGGGTGGTGTCACGCAAACAGGGGCCCCGATGGTTTGCCACAGACGAAACCAAAAGAAGACGCGGAGGGCTGTCAACACATCACGTCTGCTGCGGACGGAGCCTAGCGTCTCGCTTACAATCGCTTGCACACAACCGAGACGCACTTTGCGTCGGTCAGCGTCACCACACCAGGCGACGCTTTTAAATGCCACCACGTGTGCACAGGCGGTGGGGGACCTGGGGTCGATTACAATTGCAGACTGTGAAATTTGTGATGAATCGCAATGCAATTTGCGTGTTCAGCCGATGACGCTACCCTGTCATTGTAACTGACCCCATTGCCACGTGCAGTTTCATTTGAAGCAGCTGGCAAAAATGCTCCTGTGTCGAGTCTTCCTACAAGCGGACGTGCAGAAAGACGTGTCTCGGGTTTAAGTTAGTAGAGCAACATCTTGGTTAGACTCTGAATGCACGCGCGCGGGGCGGGCGGGCATGGGTACGGCACGCACGGCACACACGCGCGGCACACACGCGCGGCACACACGCACGGCACACACTCGCGGCACACACGCACGGCACAGGCGAAGCCTCGCAAAGCCACGGCGCACGAGGGGGCGCTACGCCATGCTGTCATGCGCGGCAATGCAGCGCGGATGTTCACAATGCACGAGCCCCAGCATTCAGACTCCTGATCCCTTAGCCGGTGCAATGCAATGAGTTGTCACGAATTTGGGGGGGGGGGGGGGGGGGGTGACGATTCGATTACAGAATCGATAATTCGCAGTCTCGTTTAAACCACGTCATTCATATCGCCGCAACTTGTAACATTTAAGCAAATTGCAACGGCAAAAATGTACCTGTTCTCAGCACCACGAGCATGAGACAACATTTGAATCGAAGAATCGATTAATCATTACAGGCTTGGCACACAGAGCAATGCTTCTAATAGCAATGGCGCATGCGGTACAGGGTTGACTGGCTGTGCGTGGTCATTATGTTATACCTGCCTACCTAAGGTGGCTAAATAAGTGTTACTAACTATGCGACAAATTAAAAAATAAATTTAATAAGGCCTCGTGTCGCGCCAACAAACGGCGAGGTGCAGCGAATAAAAATTGAGCGTGCGCGAGTGGTGGTCCTAATTTTACGACGTCTGGGAAAGCTGCCCAAGGATCCCCAAGGAGTGCCTGCAAAAATGTTACGCGGAGCCTCTGTGCATGCGGCGGTGGATAATACGCTAACGTAGTGGATTGCGTGGGTGCCAACGTTTGATGCGGGGAACAACACACACACATTATGCTGAAGGTCCGAGATTTTTAATGATGTTGGTGGTTGGGAAAAAATAAAGTCTTCAGCTTTCGCTTCTACATCTCTGCCAACCCATTTCAATGAATGTTTTCCTTTACTTGAAAAGGGCAGTGACCAAGGGTTATCCCACACATGCCGCTTTATCATGCACTTCTAGTATTTCTACATTTCAGAAAACACAGCCTCCTGCTGCCAGTCGTATAAGATATTTATTTATAAGTTTTTTTTTAAATGTTTGTCTGGGAAGCCCAAACCAAAAACCATGCTAAATTTTAAGAGGGGGGCCCACTTTTTGCAGATAATCCGAATCATTCAAAATATGTATTTATCCTGGAAGAATCCGATGACCTATTAAGCTCTTTTTCACAGATGTCCAGTAGGGGATAAGACATCAGTGTGAGGGCCGCCATACATTTGAAACCATTGGGGTTTGTTGACAGCATGATGTGGTGTTTTCACATTTGCTTACTGTCAGGGGCCACATGTCAGGGGCTGGACTAAAGGCCACCAGAGGCCACCAGTGGCCCACGGGCCTTGCAATCAAGAACACTGACTAAACGCACAGTCAAGAGACAGTATGTAACGATTCGCCCACCCTCTCAGTCCAATAACATACGATGATTTGAGATGGCGATTTAATCCGAACATGGAATTTTTTTTCTGCCACTGCTGTGTATATGTAGAACCTCCAGTGACTTCAAGGGTCACGCAAACCAATTACATACAGTGAGGGAAAAATGTATTTGATCCCCTTTTGATTTCGTACGTTTGCCCACTGACAAATAAATTATCAGTCTATAATTTTAATGGCAGGTTTATTTGAACAGTGAGAGATAGAATAACAACAACAAAATCCAGAAAAACGCATGTCAAAAATGTTATAAATTGATTTGCATTTTAATGAGGGAAATAAGTATTTGACCCCTCTGCAAAACATGACTTATTACTTGGTGGCAAAACCCTTGTTGGCAATCACAGAGGTCAGACGTTTCCTGTAGTTGGCCACCAGGTTTGCACACATCTCAGGAGGGATTTTGTCCCACTCCTCTTTGCAGCTCTTCTCCAAGTCATTAAGGTTTCCAGGCTGACGTTTGGCAACTCGAACCTTCAGCTCCCTCCACAGATTTAACTATGGGATTAAGGTCTGGAGACTGGCTAGGCCACTCCAGGACCTTAACGTGCTTCTTCTTGAGCCACTCCTTTGTTGCCTTGGCTGTGTGTTTTGGGCCATTGTCATGATGGAATACCCATCCACGACCCATTTTCAATGCCCTGGTGAGGGAAGGAGGTTCTCACCCAAGATTTGACGGTACATGGCTCCGTCCATCGTCCATTTGATGCGGTGAAGTTGTCCTGTTCCCTTAGCAGAAAAACACCCCCAAAGCATAATGTTTCCACCTCCATGTTTGATGGTGGGGATGGTGTTCTTGGGGTCATAGGCAGCATTCCTCCTCCTCTAAACACGGCGAGTTGAGTTGATGCCAAAGAGCTCAATTTTGGTCTCAACTAAACACAACACTTCATTCAGATGTTCATTGGCAAACTTCAGACGGGCATGTATATGTGCATTCTTGAGCAGGGGGACCTTGCGGGCGCTGCAGGATTTCAGTCCTTCACGGCGTAGTGTGTTACCAATTGTTTTCTTGGTGACTATGGTCCCAGCTGCCTTGAGATCATTGACAAGATCCTCCCGTGTAGTTCTGGGCTGATTCATCACTGTTCTCATGATCATTGCAACTCCACGAGGTGAGATCTTGCATGGAGCCCCAGGCCGAGGGAGATTGACAGTTCTTTTATGTTTCTTCCATTTGCGAATAATTGCACCAACTGTTGTCACCTTCTCACCAAGCTGCTTGGCAATGGTCTTGTAGCCCATTTCAGCCTTGTGTAGGTCTACAATCTTGTCCCTGACATTCTTGGAGAGCTCTTTTGTTTTAGCCATGGTGGAGAGTTTGGAATCTGATTGATTGATTGCTTCTGTGGACAGGTGTCTTTTATACAAGTAACAAGCTGAGATTAGGAGCACTCCCTTTAAGAGTGTGCTCCTAATCTCAGCTCGTTACCTGTATTAAAGACACCTGGGAGCCATAAATCTTTCTGATTGAGAGGGGGTTAAATACTTATTTCCTTCATTAAAATGCAAAACAATTTATAGCATTTTTGACATGCGTTTTCTGGATTTTCTTGTTGTTATTCTGTCTCTCACTGTTCAAATAAACCTACCATTAAAATTATAGACTGATCATCTCTTTGTCAGTGGGCAAACGCACAAAATAAGCAGGGGATCAAATACTTTTTTCCCTCACTGTACATCTGTAGACGTACAGCCCTTTTGCCAATGCACTACTGGATGATGACCTGCCCCCCCCCCCCACCAGGGTACACAGGTCATGATTTTATTTGACCAGTTTTATGTGGAACGGTGGTACGGTGCAAAGCAACACCGCATTATGGACATGCAGCGCCCTCAGTTCAATTACCAGCCAAGGATAACATCATCGTCGAGCGATATCTGAACTATTCCTGGGCATGCCTCCCCTACTCCCCCACCCCACCAACTCTAACCCTTCACCGACCCACACTAACCAGCTAAGCCAAGTGTGGTCAAACAACTCCCATGACAAACACAGCACAGTGAGGCCCTCATCCAGCAATTGACTGACAGCAGTGCATAAAGACGTGATTTAAAAAGTGGAATCAATGGCAAGTGTGCACCTAGACTAGGCCAGCTGTTGACTGCACAGCATGCACAATTGCCGTGCAACAATCTCCGAAGACAGAGGACGGAAGGTTAGCCAAAGCGCCGTGGTTTCGCGAAGGCACCGAACAGGACCCGTCGCTTTCGCTGACCCGAGTGGTTTTGAAGACCCAATTTCCATCGCGATGCGCACGAGGCAAGGGTTGCCCGCGTCACGTGACGGCATGTAGGGAGGAAAAGGGGCAGCACTGGTCAGGGGAATGAGTCATTGCAGATGTGGCTCGCCTAGGTGAGTGGTGGGTTACGAATGAGCGCACCCGAGTTCATATCCCACGATAAACTATTATTTTTTAACTGCACATTATTATGAATATTTATTGTCATGTGCTAGGACGGGTGGGAATGTGCTTCCCCATTGTTTGTGTGGTTACTTGAACGATCTCAGAGGTGGCTCTGCGACATCCATTTCGGTTGGGCCGTCATCGAACGCGGAACATTGCACTGCTCTGCGAGAGTTCCAAATTAATTTTCTGTCTTATGAAACGGCACCGAAAGTAAACTTACGTCAATGTATTTTCATTCGTTTTTGCTTAGACATGCTTTTCCAACAACCGGGATCGAACTACACACTAGCAATGCATTGCATATGTGTGTGTGTGTATATATATTTCAAAAATATTAAACAAATTACCATCCACATGCACCTATCCCAAATCTCGCCAGCACTCCAACATCTGCCTCCTGGCACCCGAACCACAAAATTAAATCTCAAAAATCTGCCACTCGGCGGAGCGGTTAAGCTATTTCGGCCTCGACCGGCCACCGCCGCTGTGTTTACCCCACAAGCCGGGGTGGGGGGGGGTGATGGCAAAACAGCGTTTCACGCATTCTCAACCTGGGGGGGAGGGAGGGGGAGGGGGCGGCCATGGTCTCGCGTCCACGCACCGGGGCACCAAAAACGGCATTGAGCAACGTGTGGGGCTCCGACACGGCCGTGCCGGCATCAGGGATTGAGACACACACGCCTAAACCGGGCGTGTGTGTCTCAAACCGTATCTCTTATCTCTTCATTGGCTACCGGTCAAATTCCGAGTGGATTTTAAGATACTGCTATCAACCTACAAGGGTTTAAAAGGGCTCACGCCACATTACTTGCAGTAACTAATACATTTATATATTCCATCAAGGTCCTTAAGATCTTCTGACCTCCAACTGCTCAGCGCTCCCAGGTCTAGTTTGCGCTTGGTGATCAGGTTTTTATTAGCGTGGCACCCAAGCAATGGAACGCCTTGCCACTTGAAACCAGGCAATCAAAGTCACCAGTGGCCGCTACAACTCATCGAATCCCGTAAGATGGTGAATCATTGAACATTGTAGTCTTTATTGTCCAGTCCACAAAAGCGAGCCAGACTTAGGTCCTTCAAGATATCAGCAAAATTATAAATTCCAAAAAAACAGTGGCCGTATAGGACTCCAACCAAACCTGAACGGTGGGGAACTGCGCCCCCCCTCCCGAACAGTGCCGCTACCCAAGTGCCGCCCCCCCCTGCCCCTTCCCACCCAAAATGAAACCGCCGCTCGCGCTGCACAAGCTGGGCCCTCACCCCCCCCCCACCCCCCAGAGACTAGCGTCGCAAAACGCCATTGCCGGCCGCAGGTGCGTACTTACATATCTCTGCCACTCTATCTCCCCAACATAGCCATTGGGAGCGCCGTTTGGCAACTTCTGTGGCTAGCGTCAGGGAGGAGAGGAACAGGCGCAGAAAGAGAGGTGCAAATTAAACCCAAAGGTAGGTGGGTTTGGGTGGGTTTGGGTGGGTAGGTGGATTTGGGTGGGGCGATGGGTTTGGGTGGGGGGATGGGTTTGGGTGGGTAGGTGGATTTGGGTGGGGCGATGGGTTTGGGTGGGGGGATGGGTTTGGGTGGGTAGGTGGGTCTGGGTGGGTATGGGTGGGTGGGTGGGTAGGTGGGTAGGTGGGTTTGGGTGGGTGGGTAGGTGGGTAGGTGGGTTTGGGTGGGGGGATGGGTTTGGTTGGGGGGGGGGAGCCGGGGGACGCGGGGAGACTTCAATCGCCGTAGCCGACAAAAAGAACCGCAGCTTGGGCTATTGGCGCTCGCTGGTGTCCATAGGCGGGCGTCGGCACGCTCCCCCGCCGCACTGTAGGACGTGAGAACCAATAGCACAGTCCGCGAGCTCGTGCGTCACGTAACGTTCTGGGTTTGGGGGGGGGGAGGCGATACCCGAAGGGAGGTGCTGGTACAGAATTGCGGCGCATCCAAGACGAGGAGCGGTGCGTGGCCGGGCGCCGTAAGAAGAGATGCGGACGGAGGAAAGGGCGGCGGTGGTGGTGGTGGTGGCGCGGGAGAAATCAGGACGTGGTAGGTGGGGGGGGTCGCACTGACCAAAGATATTCTCTCGGTTGACTTCATTGCAAGGCAGCGGGGTGCGAAAAGCGTGCCAAATGCAACTTCATGAGGTAGTTTACTTGATTTAGACGCGGATGCATGTACGTATGCTGAACTTCTTTTGCACCATATATAGCCAACCATGCTAATCAGAGGTGCGGGAGTGATAATATGAACGTGTTTTTTTGTCTCGTTGTACCTTTACGCCTGGAGAACTCCGTCGTCCAAACGAGATGGAAGTATTTAAAAAAAAACACGATTTGAGTGATCGGTCCTAGCATTGCTTATTCACTCTACCATTTAAAACGGCTTCACTTCAAATTGATACAACTTATAGGTAAGGGCGGTGGCAGTCGCCGAATCTCAATGGAGCTTTCCGCGGTTTTGCATACACTGGTGAGTGTTGAGGTTTGGGTGAATTGCTGCCTGGTGAGTGGCAAGTGTAAAGCGACACTTTCCACTCACCAGTCATCGACTCAGGTGTCACCGTGAGCGTCACGTTACCCAGTCTCTTGACCTACAACGGCGCACGAGTGGAAGCGACCTTGCCACCATAATTCACATGCCAGCAGTGTGTACTCTGACTGCGCTAAACCCTACAAATTCAGTGAAAATAACTCGTGCTCGTCGAATAACGCAGACTTAAAAAAGGAAAATGCATATGAATTTAAAAAAAGTGTATAAAGCGACGAGTTATTTGGGCACATGGGCAGTTTTGTGCATAGTAACATGAACGCTAGTGCGCTCAATTAATTTATTTAAGGCAGAAGCGTAATGCCGAAATAAATAATTGCCAGGTTTTGAGTTCACATCACAGGAACAGTGGGTAATTAATCACTTTAACAAACCTAAGTCTGTAATTATTTTCATTAATATGCAGGCAAACTGGTGCAGTGCGACGCCCCTGGATTGGGGATAAAAGTTAAAACAGGCGGAAGCTGAAATATGACGGATGGAACGGCGGCAAACACCCAGGGGCAGAGCCACAGGGGGGGCTGGGGGGGCTCAGCCCCCCCTGAAATTTTGGGAAAGTCGGTAATCGGGATAACCGGATATCCAGCTGCTGCAAAATGCTGCAGGCTGCCACCTTGTGCTGCCCTGCAGGCTGCCACCTTGTGCTGCCCTGCAGGCTGCCACCTTGTGCTGCCCTGCAGGCTGCCACCTTGTGCTGCCCTGCAGGCTGCTTGAGCGGCAGCCTTTCGAACTTATCGAACTTATTAGCCACGTCAGCGGCTCCGACCTATTAATGTGTGTGTGTGGAAAACATACACTGGATATCTCAGAATATTGAAGTCAGCCCCCCCCAAAGTCAAAATCCTGGCTCCGCCCCTGCAAACACCTACTCATAATAAAAAGAAAATAAACCAAAACGGTCCGCTCTCTACGTTGATTTAAAACACATACATACCAAATAAGTTGGGGAGAACTTCAAGACATTGTACAAATAGTGGCCGTACATTTTTCAATTCACAGGGCGACAGTCGTCGCGGCGCCTCAAACAACCAACGTAATTTGTTACAACCCCTGCGTATTGAGACACAGATGTATTTATCTGCTGCACAATGCTGGGATTGTAAACCGTGAAATCCCTCACCTCGGTGGCTTTCGCCCACAAATTTTAAACGCCGGTTGGAGTTCACGTGTCCACGGCGTCGAGCACACAACGCGTGAATTCCGCAACATTTTTCGCAAGAAACAGGCACGGGGGCCCTGAAGGGAACCATCGCGACAGGACTGGAGAGACGGGAGGCGACGTAACGACAGTTGGGACGTGTCTGAGTGAACGACGACGCAGCGGAGGAAAGAAGTCAGGATTCGGGGAGAGGTGGAACGCGTGGGATGGGTTTCAGTTGGGGAGGAAATGTGACGACGCGGTGCGTTACTCACAACTGAGTCTGCGTCTGGTGATTCCCTGCGAAGAAACAAAACGAAACAAAGGCCCAGTGTGTTAATGCGAGTTTGATTAACGTCTAACAACGAGCGCGTGCATCTGGACCGATCACTTAGCCAGTCGTGCTTTTATCGGACAGTGCAGGTAAATTTTGTAGTGCAGGTAATTTATGATTATTGTATTTAAAACGCACACTACCTCTCTCCCTCTCACCTCACTCAACTCTCCTCTTCCAATATCGAAGCCACTAGTCAACCTTTGTACAGTGGGAGGTCACTCATTCTCCTCTGCTCCCGCCATCGTCTGGAATGTCCTTGCCCCACCCATCCGTGCCATTGACTCCCTGCCCCGGTTCAAGTCAAGGCTTAAGGACTTTCCCCTCCTCCACCGCCTACGACTGCCTATTTTTTTATATGACACTTTTTTTTTTCCCAGTGATGCACATGTTAGATAATTTGGTACAGCGAATTGAGATGAAGCGTAAGTTTGGAAACTATATAATCAAAATTGTATTGTATTGTATACGATGGCCTCGCACTCAACGGTCGACACATATGGATTCACAATACCCACTCGCTGTACTGCAAATATTCTGGCCACCTCGCAGACATCCCACAGCAGGTTTGGGAATTTCGTAATTTCTCTAAGTAATCCATTAACCCTCGCCCTATAGGGCACCGGACCGCGGACGTGCTCCGCCACACCCAGTCATCGCGTCACTCACGTGGAGTCCGTGTCTTTCTCTTTCTTTCTTCTTCCAAACGCTTTCCTCGTTCTCTTCCTCAGTCCTGGGCGGCAGTGCGCACGCAAACACGCACGCACACACACATGCACGCACACGCAAGCATGCACGTACACACACGCACACATGCACACGCACGCATGCACACACCGCGCAAGTATCAGCAAGGAGCACTCAACAATCCAATACAGCATGCATCCACAAGGGACGAATGAGAGAGCCCGATTGCGCTACCAGTGTCCCGCTATGAGATGAAGAATATTGTACTATTCATATTGTAATCAGTAGACCCAGGAAAGCCTCAATGAGTCACACACTACATTTCCTGCCAAGTTTTTTCGCGTCTAGGGGGCGATGTTGCGAGGTGTCACCAAAACTGAGTCATACATTTTTCAGAATTGAGATGTTTGGCCAACACCAGTTTAATTCCATGGATTTTTTTTAAGCTATTGGAGGAAACTACATAGCCCAAAGGAAACCCATGCAGAACAGGGGGAGAACATACAAACTCCATATCAGGAAGTCTCCCGAGTTGGGAAACACAAACCCAGGCCTTTCTTGCTGTGAGGCACAAGCGTGAAGACTGCACCCACCCTGCCACCTAAAAAATGGATTCCAGAGGCCATCGCAGCGACAAAAGTGACTTAAATGCGCTAAATTTAGAAACGCTACATTTATATATACCTAAATATTCTGCCCCAACCCCCGCTATATGGCTAGGATGCTTGCAGTGATGGATAAATATTGTTTGCAGGCCAGTTCGAAGCGGGAGCCTATCATGCGATCATGGGCCAGGTGAATTGAATCCGTGGGCGATGTCCGGGGCCCGTAGGCCGTACGTTCCCCACCCCTGCTGCAAAGTCAAACCCACGGCGGCCGTTGACATGACGTCCGAACGCTGAGAGCCTCCGTGCTGCCAGGCGTGGTGAACTGGGCGTACAACGATTCAGCCATCCACCCCCCCGGCAATTCTATGAATTGCCACAACTCATGTCGTAGTTCAAATTTCCATAAATTTATTATTTTTACGTCCACCCCCTCCCCACTCACCAATTAGCATAAGCGTAACAATTGCATATTGTTTGCATTAATAAAAAAAAAAACGATTCTCACGTGAGCTATTCGATGAGTGTATCTGCGAGCGTTAGAATCTCCTAGAACCGATTCACGTATTCGTCACTGTAACTCTATAGTTGTAGGTATTTTCTTTCCGGCAAAGGCCGTTGTCTTATGAAGGTTGCTGAGCCAGTGCCTTTTGCCACCGCACAATGAGACAGACGGGGTGAAGCATGCCAGACGCCTACCCTCTATCATGTTGGCTGAGTTGGTGCTGTTGCATTCTTCAAACTCAATGGGGCCTGTGAAGGACACACATACACACAAACATATAAACAAAGATCCACCGGTTAGCCTTTGCAGATGGGGGCAAGAGCTGTTAGCGAGCACCTATTAAAGCGAGTGAGGTGCCCACTGGCTGGGGCAGCAGGGGGCCCCCTATTACACCCTTCTTCCCTCCCCTTTCATGTGGTTCGGTCACGCCAAAATGGATTACCACGGATTCTCCGTACCCGGTTCCCGGAATATTCCGCCGTGTTGTATTGGGCTCGCGTTTTGTTGTAAGAAAAAAAAGACAGCTTGACACGTCTGTCAGGACGTGATGCCGTTAACCCAAACACACGAAATACAAATGTATTAAGACTGAATTGACCCAAGTCAGGTTCAGATATGGCTGGCTATTCATGGCCAGACAGTGGTGGCACTGGGCAAAGCACACTGTGCGCTATGCACCCAGTTACTCGAGTTCAATTCTTGGTCAAGGTTAATCATCAGGGCACCACCGCACTAACCCTCTTCCCGTCAAACACACACAAGCCCACAAACGTAAACACACACACATGCGCAGGTGCAAAGACACACACATAAGCAAGGCCACGCACACACACACACATGCACGTGCACACACGCACACAAGGGTAGGACAGCACTCGTAGCGATTAAATGATGAACGCATCGATCACAGACACAAACGGAAGAAGAAAATAAAACCCATTATCCCACCCGTGGTCCCAGGCTCCTTCACGACAATAAGAAATAATTCTGGGTTGTCCCGCTGTGTTGACATCTCCGAGGCTAATTACACAAATTGCATCTCTATAAGCGTACATCATTTATAGATGGGGCCCAATTCACGTGTCATCGGAGAACGTTCCTTTTCATTACAACTTTGCGCCAAACGCCCACAAAGGGGTAAATCACCAAGGCGGTGTGTTTTCGGCAGTTATCACGAGGTGTGAATCAGCCCCACGATGTAGAAGGTGTAACAAGTTAACCTGCATGTATGCAATTAATAGACGCATACTCTAGACACAAAGACAAATATCCCCCCACCCACTCCCCACACGTGTAGCCTACATAGACTGCTGTGGCAATCGTTGTCAGCAGGCACCTATAACAGCCAGTAACGGTGCACGACGCGAGAGTGCGGTCACAGCATCAGGCACGGCCGGCCGCCTTCGCGAATTGTCACAATTTCATTGAATCACCGCCGAGCGGATGAATGAACACACTTCTTACCAAGGGGCACCTCAAATGGTGAAAAAGGCTAAAAATAGCGGCTGATCGGATGTGCAACCTTGCTCGTGCTCTTATTGACGTGTTTTCCCCCGCATGCTCCTGCCAAAGAAAGGACTTCAAGGTGGCCAATCAGCTGTCACGCCAGACCAAGTGATGGAGCCAGAACCATTGCACACCCTCATCACCCTTCCTCCAAACAATGTTACAGTCGCGCGATCACACAGAACGGATGACCTCACTGTCCAGGCTGCCCTTTATTCTGCCTTTGCTTAGGAGCTTAATCATTATCATCAGCCACGATTAATCCACTAGAAAATCCACGGTGCAATTGTGGCGACGCAAACCAAGCTACGGATCACAGAGTAAACCACTGCAAGTCTGTGCTCCTTCAGATGAGCAAAACGGCACGGACTCTCTCCTGAAGCACTGTCGTTGTGGCCAGCACCTGCAGCAGACCTCGACACTGCAATTAAGCTCCTGAGCAATATTGGCATGCACACAAATAAAATAAATCCACTGCTGGATGGAAGCCTTCCCAAGCTGTCGCACCCCCCCCCCCCGCCCCCGACTCTAACGGTCCTGCAATGTGAACAAAGACAAAGAGCCTCCAAATAGCGGAGGGGGTGGGATTTAATCTAGCAGTGGAGAGACCATGGCTGATGATGTTGGAGTCGGTTGTATTGACAAATTCTTCTTCAATGCATGATTGATATGTGGGAGAAAAATTAACCAACACGCACCAATGAATACCACTCAAATGTCCGCACAGATGGGTTCACGAACCCTCTTGCTATTACCGCCATCTCCTGATCATATTGCAGCAAGCCCAAGCGTGTCGGGCAGTTTCAAAAACCTCGGTGTGATCCACTAACCCTTGACTCCGAAACGCTTGATCACAGGAGTGCACCACCACCACCACACCCAACTCATAACAGTTAAAAAAAAACAGCTCAAACGAATTCAACGAACTGGAACACAATTCACATTGACTTCACAAATCCAATTATCGGCTGCTTTACCAGCCCTGCCCTCCACGCAGACTCTCAAGAATCGTCGTGTACTGGGGGGTTCCGTGAGTCTATATATCAATTGAGAATAAGATGATTATTTTTAAACAGAGCAAGGACCCTCCCCCCCCCCCCCCCTTGTTCCAAGTCAGCTGACCGAGGGTCCGCATGAGACCGGAGTGCAGAAACAATGCCAGGATATGCAACGGGATCACGTGAGGACAAGCGGGGACATTCCTAAAATCGGTGCACCCCTCAATGTACCCGATCTCACCGGTACTTGTGAACAGGAGCTAAGGTGGCTCGTCGCATCACAGGGCAGTGACAGATGGCGGTTTGGGCAGACCTTCATCCAGCAGTGGATTGGTCATGGCTGATTGTGATTATGTACGTAATGGGTTAACAGGACACCCCCCCTCCTCATCTGCTGCTGCAAGTGCTGCTACCGCAACGTAAAAAAATGTGATTCTTAAATTGATTAATGAAGCGGAATTGAAATGATGAAGCGAACGTGACGGTGGATAAAACATCGCATTCTTAGTAAAGAGACAATCCACATAGAATCTGATGGCATGTTAACAAGAGTAGCTGAATGCATTTAACCCGTCTCCGGGGCTAACGTGATGATGATTATGAGAAAGATGGCATTCATTAAAATGTTAATGATGATAACGATGATGACAATGACGATAAAGTTGCTGATGTTTAACATGATGTAGATAATTAGAATCACGATGCGGTAAGCATAAATGTCATCGTGGCAATGACTATGATGATGACACCGCAATCGACCCAAGTGCCTTGAGCTCATAAACCTCACCATCATGATGACAGTGAAGAAGATGATGATGATGCCGACGATGACACAGCGAGATTACAGTGCGAGTCACAGTGGGTGCAACCAACTGCCCCACCATCAGCGAAACATGAAACTCGATTTCGCACTTGTGCCACCGCCGCATCCCCATTAGCGCTCAGTCGCGGTTCGGGGGAAGAAAAAAAACGCCGTCTCTGCTGCAATGAGTGCAGACACGGACCCCCATCCATTAACGAGCCTGACGATCTTCCGGGAGACTCGGGGAGGCTGGGGGGGGGGGGGCAGGGGGAGGGGGGGGGACTAACGTGACGGAACGAGACAACCGGGGGTACGCCCATATTTTAGGAACACGGTTAAAGAAAAACACAAATGGACAGGCAGAATGACGGAAGGATAAACAAACGGATGTACGGAAGAGGGGACCAGAATGTATAAATGCATAGCTATATGGATAAAATAACAATTTAATCATGAAAACAGGGTCTTTTATAGTCAATGAGGGGAAATAAAATCGCGAAGATGATCTAATTAACTGATGAAGCAGACTAATAATACAATTAGCAGAGTGATAGATTACATAAGCCATCGGTCACCACTCCACACTACAGCCCACCACCGCAACAAGCATCTGTTGCAAGAAACACTTGAACCATGAACGGCACTGGTGAAAGCACAGCGGAGTGTGCAACACTTAAAAAAAAACAAAATTTAAACGACGGCAATTTCACACGAAGTTAATTGTTTCCACGGAGAGACGGTCAAGAATAATTATCCATGGCCCAATCCCCGCTGGCAAAGGGATTTGAAGCGCTCCGCATTGGCGACTCTGCACCAAGCGTTGAATGTTACGCGTACAGCAGACCTCTGCCAATCCACTGCACGAAGGCCCCCCCCCCCCCACCAGCCGCCATTTGATCACGCGTGTTGCTTGACCATACTTCACCACACAGGTCAGCGCGGGTTGGTGAAAGGCGAATGGGTGGAGGACAGATCAGGACCGGTTCAGATATTGCTCGACACTGATACTGACGCGTGGCCAGGGATCTAATTCAAGTAACCGAGTTCATCCCCTTCCCCTGAAACCATCGACGTGTTGCACCAGGTTTGTGCGCTTACAACGACAAAAAAAAACCCGAGCTCATGGTGCGGCAACCACTACTGCCACCACTCCACGGGCACAGTGAATATAATGGGTAGAGTTGGTCCCATCGCTAATGGAGCGTGGATCATCGACACTGTTAACAGGCAGCATCATCTCAGGTTGACACCCTGGATGAGGATTTTTTATTTAATTTAATCACCACACTCAAACGGAGTGAACCAACTTTTTGCCTTTTTCTCTATTTTATGGTGCTAACGGCTGTCACGTCAACGGGCGATGGATCCATTCGGAAACCCTGGCAGGACAATGTGTTCGAGAAGGTGCTATCACAATGACTTCGGAGATGCGTTCAAAACGACTCTTTGTATCCACTGCATGGCAGTCAAAATTATATATATATTTTTCATTCTCAGTTGAAATTCAGGCAAACGAAGAGCATAATCAAATTAAATGCAGTTGGATTTTGTATTGCAGTCATCTGTGACTGGATTGAGACCATCAACTACAATGTAAAAACTCAATTTAATCACAGGTGGTGGCGCTGGTTCAATACATTGACGTGCACCAGTGACGGCTCAGTGGTCTGAGCCCCGAGCTACACAGCCACCTCTGCCAAATGAAATTACAAAACCAAACCTGAGCAGGCGAGCCAACAAATTAGCAGGCAGACAAACAAGACGGTCAAATTAGCAAAGGGTGGCGGCACATCCCTTCCGGAGACGGTCGTCGCAGCTCCCGAGTGAGACCATTCCGAGCAGAACGCCGAGAAGAACGCCACAGCACGGGCCCAGACTACGGGCACGGGGGGCACACAGCGCCCGGCGCCGCACACAGCGAGCAGCGGCAGACGACGGACAGACGACGGGACAGGTGATGGACAATAGACGGACGACCTCACCTGGTGCCAAGTGCAGCCACCGACAGCACATTCGCCTGGCCATGCCTGCCCCAGCTGTCTGCCCCGTCAAATGCCGACCTTCCTATTTATTATTACTTTAGTTGTTGCTGTTTCCTCTATTTTTGATAAGGTAAGCGGGCAAAGGAGTCAATAAATGTCTCTGGTGGGACGAGAGCTGCTCGTACCGTGAGCGAGCGACTGGCGTCGAATCCTGACGTTAACGTCGCTCGTCCAAACCCCGCCCTCCCCCTCCCCCCGTTATCTGCTGTGCCGGGAGCTCTCTTGCGCCTCCTCCAATGAGGAGAGGGAGCAGGCCAGTCTTGCCCACTAGCCCAGCAGTGCCATGGGGATAGCAAGAGAGAAGCATGAGTGGCTAAAACCCCAGGACTGGCTGCGTGTGAGTCAGTGCAATTTCATCCCAGATTCATGCATTTATTTGTCTGCATTTTTAACAAACACCGCAGTGCCACGAGACAACCCACACGCAGGAGAGGGGCAAGCACTCAAAATCCTGCACCGACTGTGAGCAACCTACTTGCTGTACTATGAGATAAAGTCAGCACTTTCCTGCTCAAACGGGCAAAGGGTCGACAATCATCTCGATTGCCAGCCCCAAAACAGTTCGGGGAGATTCTACATTATCGCGACTGGAGCCAGTCTCTCCGTAAGATGCCTGTTCTAACAATGAGATAACAAACAGACAAGCTTCTGCTTAATTGCCAAAATAAATAAATAAGTTTGGGTCTATAATCCTGTGAGACTTTGGAACCAATATTTTCCATCGGCATCTGCTTAAGCAGACAAAACTCTGGATGGGTTTTGACTCTCTGAGTCTCATGAACAAAAAAAACCTGCGAATCCAAGGTATCACTCAAATCCTGACATCGGGGGCATTCGGCTCTCAAATGCCAGTGATTAAAAGAGTTCTCAGGTGTAGTTTGTGCAACCCAGTCAAAAAATGTGGCCAGTTTTCAAGAAGGGTAAATCCCTCCTTCCTTTCCACCAAAGTGAAAATGTCCTTTCCGGTGGCGAGCACAATTCAGCGAGTCGCAAAGAGCGACGCAACTTTGTAAGAACGCGCATAAATGCTTTCAACCACAGTTGGAAAGCATGAAAAAAAACAACACGAATTCTAATAATAATCCTCAACACATCGTCACCGCAGCCCACGAGCTCAGCAAAAACAGCACGACGATAATAATGAAGAACGCGGAGAGCCTATTCTGGCATCTGTATGCGCGCAAAGGATTGTCACTCGCGCGACCACGCCCCCGACACGAAGATCCAGGCGAGGCCGGGAGGACTTGGGCAAGAGACAGTGTTTCCAAAAGGGCCCGAAATAACACGGCCGGCCGAATCGATGGCTGGAGCCATCCAACCTTTGGGCCGACCTCGTGAAATAATTCATCTTTTCCGTAGGCGACGTCCGAACGCAAATAAGTTATTTCGCGTTAATTCTTTCGTTTTTCTCCTTATTCACAAAGCTGCTTGAAGTAGGGACGTGTGAAACAAGGGAACGCGCGTGTGGAACGAGGTGGCTGTGCGACCAGGAAGGCGTGAAACGGATCCACCTCCTCCGCAAAACGATGAATTGTCACAATTTAGGGGTCACGATTTGACCAATAAAAATCGCGATTCTTGTTGCTCGTTATGTCTAGAGTGGTATCAATGTTTATAGTTTATCAGGGCTTGTAACCATGCACTGATTCACCGAATTCGATGTTTTGCTCCCGGTATACGCGGAAAAGCACGTTACACTTTGGCTGACGCAACAAACCAAATTGTGCAGACAAAACTAGAAAACATGGGAAAAATACTAACGGTGAAAACGGGACGACAGAGAATCGATTCTCGATTTGAATTTCAACCACTTGCCCTCCCTTCCCCGAATCCGGACAAATCCCTGAGCTGCTGTAGAGCTCAACCCATCAACGACTCTAATTCCTAACGGCTAACTACCGCAACCAACAAGAACAGTCGGTAAATAATCGATTCTTACACACACGGTTCAATGCACGCGTCAAATCCAAATCGATTGTGTTCGATGAACCATTGCATCCCTCCGGTACAGTGCGCACAGAAACATGCACGCACACAGACGCTCGTGCACTCACTAATGCACGTACACGCGCGTACATTAGCCTCTCCACTGGGAGCACCGCATCTCCTAGCCCAACACACACCGCCCTGAATTGCGCGCGCATTAAGTATTAATCGGCGGGGCGGAAGAGAGGGCAGTTTCTTTTGGTTGCCTTTGTTTTTATGATTATGGAGGCCAATTTAAACGTAAGTGCTCGCATGGCCCCGAAGCGCTGCCGAGCGGCAGGGACAGGACGCCTCTGGACAGCAAGGGCCGCTCAAAGCGACATTCAATAGCTGCCCCCCACCACTCACCCCGGTTATACTGCCCCTCCCCCCCAGACACCAAACCGGTTCCAAGACCAACAAGAATAGGCTTGCAGTGGGGGAAACAAAAGGCTGCCGCGGTAGCGGCGGCCGGATGAAAGCGCAGGCCGGGCTTTTAACTTAGGTGCCGCCACCGGTCAAAACCAACGCTACGTTTTTTTTTCTCTTGACTGGACGAGTCAAGGTCTCGCTGAGGACCTTCTGATATTACGAAGTGCACGTTTCTTCCGGGGGGGGCGTTTGATCCCAACGCTTGCTGGCGCTGAACGCCGACCGATTTGTGAGCCTATGTCCCCACCCCCCTTGCTCCGAGAAACGCAACTTTCTCTTCCATTTGCGTCCGGTGGTTTTTAAACAAAAATCGGCTGACTCGGCAGACACAAATGCACGTGCGTAAACACAAAGGTAGGTGGCGAAAACCTGCCTACTCACTGCACGCAACGCCAAGGCTGAAAGATTACGAACGCTTCGTTCGTGAAAATAGTGTTTCATTTACGAATTTAAAAAAATAGTATTATCGTGATGAAACGGTAGGGTTTGCACACCTGTCAAGAAGCCCTTTGGAGGAATGGGTTGGTGGATCATGAACATTTTTGAGGATCCCAAAACCTGATGGATGGGATGCAAGGTGGCTGGAGAGAGCAGAACAGCAAGTAGGTTTACAAACCTGTGTGTATGGATCTATTGTCATTAGGGCATGCTCTAGTGAAAGCTCTAAAGAGAATATTTTTAGCCCACTCTTCAAAACTGACCAGACGGTGGGTGTACCACACTTTACCCAACCACATGAGCGACGAGCTGTGGGTTTACCCATTTATACTGCTGGGTGGAGGACAGAAGCGAGGGTGGTGATAAGGGGGGCGGATTGAAAAAATTCCCATTGCTTAGCGACTGGACATCTGTGAAAAAGCTTCACAGCTCATCAGATTTCTCCAGGACAAATACAGATTCCGAACTGCCACGCCGGGAGATGGAACCGACGACCTCTGGGTTTGATTCTACGGAGTGGCGGTGGAAATTAGGAAGGAGGGGTGGCAATTGGAAAGGGGAGGGGAGGGGGGAAGGAGGGGAGGGGGGAAGCAGAGGAGGGGTCGCACGACAAGGCCCCACGTGGCTGGCGCTCGCTGCTCACCTGGACGCTCCTTGCCCGTGCCCTTGCTCTCCGAGTACTTCTCGATGAGATTATCCGCAGTGATGTCCCTCACCTGCTGCCTGAACTCCATGTGCACCTAAGTCCCACACAAAGACAAAGATTCACCCGTATAGCCCTTGAACAGATTGCTGGGGCAAGTGCAATTTTCGAGCACCTATGAAGGCCGGCACAGCATACGAGAGGGTGGGTCACCAACACAGCGCGCCCGTCTGCCTTTGCCTCCCTCGTGGCGAATTTTTACACACCACACCAGGTACTCATTTGACGCTGAGTCGACCCAGGGGAGGACCAGGAGCAGTTCAGATAATTAGTCACTGGTGTTGGCCGTAAGTGGGAGTCGAGCTCGTGTCGTCCAGGTTCGTAGCGCAGCGTACTAACCGCGACACTCCCGCTCCCCACACACGCACACACGTGCATAATTAGTCTCTGGCATAATTACATGGACAGAGATGGAACTGAGTTCATTAGTTTCATAACACTATACGTGGACTCCTGCAGCACTGCACCCACTTGTTCAACACCAAGTACTCCTGTCGCGAACTCTTACTCCGCTAGCCTGCTACTTCGAGCTCTCTCTCTCTCGCCCATCTAGACTATTACTCCCCGCTCTACTAGCCTGTCACGGACTCTCTCTCTCTGTATACTCTGCTAGCTTCTCACCCCGCTAGCCTATCACACTCAGACTAAAGATTCCGCTAGCCTCTCCACTGCTAGCCTATCTACACCCGCACCTCCAACCTCGATCGTTCCCCCAGCGGGGGTTCAGCCAACACCGCTAGGGAGGATGAGGTCTGGAGGGCAAGGTCCCGGACTTCTCTTGAATCTCTTCACTGCTTCATCTCCAACCAACTCAACCCCACTGCCTCACACGTTCCCCTCCTCATTAAGTGGCCTCAGATGGCCCTCATCAAGCCGGCGTCCTTCCACCGTCTCTTGCACGTGTTCTCCCCCATATCGCCTCTATCTCTCGCCTCCGTGGCGCCTACCCCGCGGTTTGCATTTGCAGCCAGCCAATCACTGCCTCTTTCCCTAATTGCTGGCATCTCTTTGTCTGCTGTCACCCAGGTTACCCGCCTGGACCTGCTTATCCTGTGCTGACCTCACTGTTTGCAATCCCGTGCATGAATTATTTTTCTGTTTGCAAACCCTGCGCGCGTTACGCCACTACACATATAAACAATGATCAAACCCGAGCATCGTGAGCAAAAGAATTGAATTAAATCGACAAATCGATGCAACCATTACAAACCTAGTCTATACCCGTGTGTACATGCATGTGTGCGCGTGTGCTTGTGCGGAAGCGTGCGGGCGTGTAAACGTACATCGGTGCATGTGTTTGTGTGTGGGTTTGTGTATATGCAACCGTGTATATGTATCCATGGGATCCTTAATGCCAGTAATGTATTAATATTACATATATAAGAAATGCTTTACCCTTTCTGGCATCATTACAATATTCAAACTGCTTAACCGGACCTATTAATGCTTTGGCGTTTGCATTGTCCTTGTATTGTTTGCCTTATGGCATCCTTTTTATCTCGCACTGGTGAGACAAAGTCATAAAAAGAGGCTGTGTGGTGACGTCATCCGTGGTGAATGGCCGCTAAGTGTGGCGATGAATGTGCCGTGCCGGCCTTCATAGTTGCTCGCGAACGACACTCGCCCTGACAGTCTGTTGAAGGCTATACACGGGGGGGGAGGGGGCGGGGGGGAGGGGGGGGTGTCTTTGTGTGTGTGTGTACACATGTGACCGCTCCCACCTGCCCGATGAGGGTGTGCGTGTCCTCCACAGCCTGGGAAAAGGCCTTGATGAAGTCGTGAAGGCTCTGGAGGTGAGCCTCCTCAATCTCCTGGAACCTCTGGAACACGGGGGCAACACACACCAGCAGTGGGCTTCTCGGACACATCGCATCGCTGTGGATCCGCGCACACTCGCAGGCGCCCGTCCACCAAGCGCTCACCGTCCAGGCCCATAAACTGCTTAGCACTGGCGGTGATTTGGTCATAGGCGTGATTGTTGGATGGATTCGTGCTGTTTTAAGAACAAATAAAATGACGTGCGATTGTTTTTACAGGTTGCTTCATTTATAATAAGCATTACGATAATACCCTCACTGCATCTCAAGACTATTTCAGGATGGCTCTGCATTGAGACGTTTGGCCAATTCCATTCACCGTGGGAGGGAGCGGGGGTACCCACAGCAAGCCCACCACTCATTCCAGGTGAATAACACCAAATGCCCCGCACAGAGAGATTCGACAATCCATTGCTGTACTGCCATATCGTGGATATCTGACAGGGAAACCTTCAACACACACATTACAGGGACTTCAAACAAACTATCCGTCACGTGGTATCGTGGGTGCTATGTGAACTCAAAAGTTCAAACACAAGTGGCTTTTGGCAGGCCATCAAACAAAGATTGTCACCGCATCGCGCGCTTTCAGATGCACTTCTGCTGCTGTCGGGAAAGCTCTTCCTTCCGATATTAGGAAGCCACTGGAGCTATGCACTTTTGAATCTAGATTGAAAACTCATTTCTTTAGAACTGCTTTTTGTGTTTGTCGTCCTTTCCCCGCACCTCCGATTAGCACGGTTGGCTAAGTACGGTGCGAAAGTAGTTCGACATATACACATTATAGAATTCATTGCTGTACTCCTATTTCCTTGTCGTCTCATTCACCCAGCCGATTAAATCAAACACTTCTTGGGCCAGCATCTGTCACTGCGTTTAGGGCCAAAGGCAAAACGCAGAAACGCTCGCATGAACTTGCTCCAAAAAAAACACACACCCGGCAGCGGAAAAATGTACATCCGACGACATTCCGTGTAATCTCCCACCCAGCACATGGTGGTGGAGGGGGGGACATGGTGCTTCAACAAGGATGGCGTTGTGATTTCGCTGAATAAGCTTGCGCACGGATCTGTGCGCGGCATTGTTCGCCTGCGTTAGCGGCGAATAAAGGGCCGGCGACGGAGAGGGGGGAACGAGCGACCGGCTCAGAGAAAGCCTACAGAGGTACGAGAGGTAACGCTTTCATGCAGAACGCTCCCTCGAGATGAAATTGGCAAAACATCCAATCCGAGACCCCCTCCTTACAACAACAACAAAAAACGACGAGTGAGACTCGGTGAGGCTTTCCCAGACATGAAAATTATATTATTATCGATACGGTTCGATACATGGCAACACTTTCTGTAATTAATAAGATAATCAAAAAATACATTAGTAGGTGTACAGCTCCGTTTGGCAAACAAATGCAGGATGAACGCCTGCCCCCATGCCATATTGGTCATGGGGAATTTATTTGCATATATTTGGCAAGCATCGTACAGCACAATAATGGATTTTTCTCCACTGCCCTTTGCTGCAAATAACGTCTATTCCATGTATTACGGTCGCCCACCCAAGCACGGTCGGGGCCTAACACCTGCGTTTGGATTGCGAGATCTGACGAAATTTGGCACGTTTCGGGTGGCAGGGTGGTAGGCCAGCAAACACACACGCGGCACCTTGTGTGAGACCACTGTAGCCATGAGCACGAAGTTGGTTAATTGAATCCAACCCGAGAATTCGATAGAGATGCCACCAAAATTGAGAAACTGGAGATGTACCGCATGGGAGGCGCGGTATAATTATTTCCGCATTCTTCGGATTACGAGATGCGCCTGTTCCCACTGCATTTTAAAGCAAAATTTGGGGGTGCGGATTATAATTTGATAGATGTCTGTGTGTATGTGCAAGACCAGGTTTATTAACTTCGGGCACAAGTTTGGAGTGCGTCTTACTTTTTTCTGGAGCGTTTTATAATCCGGAGAACTTAGAAAGTAATGATCATGATGATGTTAAACTTCTTTCGCACCGTACGTAGCCAACCGTGCTAATCGGAGGTGCGGGGGAAGGATGAAATTGCCAAGTTTTATTGGTGGCCCCGCCGCTCACCTGTGCCGTTTCCGTCATCTTGTGCTCAAAGTCGGAGCGCACGTTGGCGTACTTATCCACGAACACCTTGTACGCCTCCATCGCCTTGCGTGACTTCACCTGGGCCTGTTGTCGTACGCGCACACAGCAGCAGCGGATTCTAAACCCCTCGAGTCTCAACGAGGTCACGTGACCAGATTGTCAACCCCTGGCTTATCAACATCACGTGACCAGAGTCTGACACGCTCATTTCACGAGTTCACGTGACCAGATTGTCAACCCCTCGCTTCTCAACATCACGTGACCAGTTTCTGAACCCCTCGCTTCTCAACAAGGCCACATGACCATATTCTCAACCCCTCGCTTAGCAATGGGGTCACATGACTAGATTGTGATCCCCTAGCTTTCTCAACATCACATGACCAGTTTCTGAACTGCTCGCTTCGCAATGAGGTCATGTGACCAGATTGTCAACCCCTCGTTTCGCAATGAGGTCACACCATGACCGCATATTCAATAACGTCACATGACAATGAGAGCATTTCACTGTCACGCACCTCAAGATTATAAACCTGGCAGAGTATTCTCGCTGCCAGTCTCCCACATGCAAGTACTTTGCTAACCAGGTTCAAACCTCTTCAGCTTCCGAGACGTGACGGATTGGGTGCACAAGGAACAGCATCATCAAAGGCAGCAGCCATGATCTACCCACTGCTTGTTAAAAGATCATAGCTACACGGCATCCAGTGGAGACTCAGTTGATTTGTGAGCAATACTTGGCAGTGGTGTCATTGTTGGGAGGGTTTTATTCAGCAGTGAACAGTGACTAGTATGTATTTGTGTCTGCCCAGGCACTGTGTGTGTTGCTTGGAAGTGTGGTACAAGTTGGTAGCATTGTTCTAAATGTTTCTCAATTGTTTTTCTATGCGATCAGATTGTTAAAGGAAGACTCAACCCAAAAAAAAGAAAATTCCTTTCCATGTAGAAACGCACCTTGTATGCTGCCATTATTGTATGCAGTTCTCCCGAGAAAACTTTAATTCTAGTCTCCAATTAGCTCTGAGTGGTAATACATATAATACATTTCAGTCCTTTATAAAGCCACTGCGAGATGAAGAACTCACCATGCCGTGTTGGTCATGGCGGTCTTTTGAACATACACTTCACCATCCTGGTCAGTGCAGACCGGTGAAGAATCGAAGGAAGCAGGATTGGTTGAGATATCATTGGCCACTGATGTGAGCTGTGGCCAGGAATCTTAAGTCAGTTTTCTGGGTTCATAACGCAGTGCACTAACCACTGCACCACCGTTCCACTCCCTCTTACTTGGTTTTAATAAAGGTTATATGTGTCCTGGTCTGGCTGCCCTGTGTTGGAAGCGCAGACGAAGACTTTATTTTAGCTGGTAAGGCCCTATTAGCTAAAAAGCTCTCTTACAAAGATGGCCAAGCTTCATTATAAAGAAAAAGGATTTCAGGTTACCATCAGGAAATTCATTTATAGCATTCTAATGCTGTATTAAGGGGTGCCACGGTGGCGAGACGTTAACTACTTTGCCTGGTATACACGAGGTCGTGAGTTCAATTCCGACCCTGATGCCTGTATATTTTAAATTTGCATGTCTCACTCCCCGTAGACGCGTGAATTTTCCACATTTGGAAACATGCGTTGAGCGTATTTGGCTGTTATACATTTTCACATAAGCCACTTCGTTGAGCTATGATTTGTGGCCAGGTCGCTTCTGAAAAAGAGCTAAAGCTCAGTGGACCGTACCTCGTAAAATAAACGTAGTAGCAGTTATAGTAGTAAATTAATGCGAGGTGCCATTACAGCATGACTAATTAACTTTAAAAGTCTTTATTTTTAACGAAGCTTCAAACGTATTTCGGACAAGCCAGGACGCAGAGCCTGGAAGAGAAAGAGCTGTTTATGTTTTTGGTTGTCATTACGGCCTCTCCTTGAAAGAAAAGCAGACTTGAAAATTTGTGATGCCAGGGAGGTTCCGCCTAATGATTTCCCAGTCGCTGGTCCGTGAACGGTAACGGATATATTCTCGCAGCCATACATCCAAAACCTTTTTCATGGACTCGATGCTTAAATAATGATAATTCGGGCACAAAACTTCAGCCGATGCCTTTGGAATTTAGATTTTGAGAGTGGCAGCTTGGTTCGGGATGCAATCGGGGGTTGATTTACTGCAGCTTGGCAGAGAAAATGAAAAATCCCAATTGGAGGATTTTGCACGCACTATGAGCACAACGCACTGACCATCAATCTGTCCGCAGCCTGTCCATCTACATTACTTCGCCAGGATACATTACCGGCGGTCACGAGCTTTCTCCACAGTGTGAATTTATAGCGACACGAGTCCATTATAGAAAGGACACACGTAAACACACATCTATATCCACGGAGTGTAACGGTTTGCTGCTCTCGATGTCCATCACGATTCAGGGCCCCGCAAATTCTATTCGAGAACCGAGCATTTAAATATTTATTCTGTTACTCAGTTGGGTTTTGCTATCATTTTGTATTTGTTTTTTTCTAGGCCGATTTCTATTCGCTCAGTTGCTGTTCTTGTTTTTATGTCATTGCCTTTGTCGTTCTGGTGACCCACGTCACTCGCACAAACGGTCTCTCGAGTTCCCGCCCGGTTAAAACAAAATAAACTTGAAACCGAAATGTCAAAGGAGTTGCACAATGGAAACATTTTCTTGATCGCATGATGCCGATAGTGACAACGTGATACGAACGGTAACGTTCGAAAAATCTGCTTTGCAACTTATTTTCAGCGTGGTGTGTGACACTGACGCAGAGACAGGGTACAGAATAATGTTTGAGCATTGGCACCGAGGAATGCCGACCTGTGCCCTTTACCAGTTGTTGCCACTAAGGGTCGCAAAGAGCAGCAATTGCCAAGTCTCCCGGCGGACACTGGGCCATCATGATGCTTGTTTTACTCGACAAACTGAAGCATCGCTGGAGCATAATGGCAAGGGTGAGAGTCTGCACGCACGGTTTGCCTTCCTGTATCCACGGCTGGTGGCGTTAGCAAGATGGCGGCGTATGCGCGACACCGGAGCTGGTTTAAATATAATAAGGTGAAAAACCACCAAAACGACAAACTAAAATAAACTCCCGTCGCCACGTTTCAGATCACGGGTGGATAGCTCAGCGGGCGCCGCGACCGAGCCTGGCGGCAGTGGTGGTGGCCGTAGTCGTGAAGGCAGTGGTGCTGCTGCTGTTGCTGCTGGAGGTAGCGGTGGCGAGGATGGACGCGGGGGCAACGGTCGTGGTAACGGTGGTGGAGATAGCGACGGTGAAGGCGGCGGCAGTGACGGCGGCGGGCTCACTTGCCTTCTCGTACTCTTTGTGGTTTCCCTCCTTCTTGAGCCTCTCCGTCTCCTGGTGTTTGCTGTTGTAGACCTCCTTGGCTTTGAGCAGCGCCTGTGTGGTGGACTGCATGCCCTGCACGGCCTCCAGGGTCCCCGACACCTCCTCCTTCGTCTGTGGCAAGTGGGAAGTTAAAGAGTCAGTAATGCAAAAGGAGAAACGAGGGAACATGACATTAATTTGCAAACAGCCTAAAAAAGCAAAAATTCCCATTGAAATAGGGTAGTTTTACGATATTGGATGTACATTTGAGACGAGCGGAATGCGCTCGTCTGAAATGTACATCCGAAATTTACACCCCGACCCAGCGATTCGATGAACTGTCACAATTCGGGGTCACGATTCGATTGAAGTATCGACTGTATTCCGTCTCATATTGGCAGTCTCATTGGTATTCGGCAGTTTCACAATTTTGGATGTCCATTTCAGATGCTTTATATGACACCCCACATCCACCTCGCCTAACAATGTTTATTTAACCAGTTGTATGTATGTTGAACTTCATTTGCACCATACATAGCCAACCGTGTTAAACGAAGGTGTGGGGTTTGGTACAATAATGAAGGATTTGATATAGATGTACCTTGTGCTCTAGCAGATAATCTCCACTCAAAACCAGCTTTGCAGTGTTCAGGAAAATATCGAGTGAGAAATAAGGCCCTGGGAATATTGCTAGGTCTACTGATTAAGCCCTGGGACTAGTGCTAGGACTACCGACTTCAATGGTAAGGGAACCAATTAAGCCTTGGTAATGGTGCTCGGGCTACCGACTGCAATGCAAAGGGTATACCAAGGAAGCCTTGAGAATAGCGCTCGTGGTGTTGATTGGCCACAGCGCTATTTTTCAACTTCCGCGGCCACCTCGCAATGGTTGCGCGCCTGCGTCGCTCGCACCTTCTTGTGCTGCTTGGTCTGCTCGTCGCCGTACTTCTGCACCTCCCGGATGAGCTCCATGAGCTTGCGGCTCAGCTCCTGGTGGCACGAGGCGAGGCGCTCCGACGAGGCGCGGAACACTTCCCACATGGGCGCAAACGTCCTGCGTCGGGGATGGGCGGAACAGGCGAGGCGTTAACCGACTGACTTAATTTGAAACAGTTGAGGGCGCGCCAGGCGAGAATGCGAGAAAGACGATGGTAAAAAATGTGACTTTACGATGTCACCAAAGCTGGGACGGTTAGTCCATGAAGACGATTAATCGACGACAACAAAAACTTCTGCCTCCCGAAGGTGGGATTACTTTACAAGCTACGCACAACTGACAGAAAACTAACATCATCGTCATCGGCCATGGACAATCCACTGTAAGATGCAGGCCTCCCCAAGCCATCCTGCAATTTAACATACAAAGTGGAAACACAATAACAGAAAGCGACAACTACACGGTACATACTTTATTGATGACAGAGGGATTATTATATCGGACTATATTCGAAAAAAAAGCCTTCTCGCCGAATGACCTGGGTGAATTCCTGTCTGGCTGGGTGCCACGGTTCCAAGTGCTCCCAAGGTGGGAATAAGGAGAGTGAGGGTGAGAGGTGAGAGAAACAGGAAGAGGAATAAGGGGGAGGGAAGTGGGGGAGGTACAGTGGAGGGAGGAGAGGAGACAGAGGAATTGAGAAACAGATAAAAACAAAGACAATGTGAGAAATCGAGATAAATTACGATGTACAGTGCAGAGACAGGGCTCAATACAAGTTTTGCTGGCTGGCTGGGAGGGATGGACAGACAGTCACATTAAAATTATGTGCGGGTTATTAGTTGTTAATCAATACACTTATTAACCAAAATTAATCCTCCGAGTATCTTTCCTCACAAGGGTCCCTGCTAAGTATTCGCTATCAAGGCAACGATGGCCGTGGAGTGCCCAAAAAAGTCATTTGAAAGTAAATTTCTCAATTTCGGACCACGCGGACGTCACACAAGAAACTGTTCTTCGTTTGACAGCACAGGAACTCAACAGGCGCCGCGAAGGAGACGGCGCATGTTTCACGGTTAACACAACCGCGGTGTTAACCAGGGCGGCCGCTTGATTCGAACCCGCGAACCTCTGCAACAGACGGCGAATGTGTACCCTAGGGGCATCGTGACCACCCGCAGGATAGCGTGGGTGGTCAGACCATGACTGAAATTGAAGACTCGGGAAATTATGATTTTTGATTCACATTCTGATTCTGTCACCGACTTCTCCAACACTAACCAAGTTTACAAAGCTCGCGCTTTTCATAATTACACCTTCACCACATTCAAGCAGAACACTGAACGCAGCCACTACTGTAACCTTCTTATTTTGTATGTATATATTAGAAAAAAACTACGTACAAGATAATGTTATTACACGGGTCAGTTTAGGCAAAGCGCTTCAAGCGACGAGATGAATTTCCAACAAGCACCGCTGGAGGTCATTTTCCACCATCCGTGCAAATGTGTTCACGTGTCGCCGACGCATTAATACATGCACACACGCGTGTGTAACATGCACAAAGGCAATGACAAAGATACCACGTATAGCCTTTTATAGACTATATGGGGCAAGTGCTGTCAGTGAGAGCTTAATAAAGGCAGACACCGGCACGTGGCAGTGTGCTGCAGCCAGCACCACGCGCGGCCACATTTGGTTCTCCGGTGCTATTTACCCAGGCTGAGTCAACTTAGGGGAGGTCCAGGACTGGTTCCGATATCATTTGTCACCGGGCATCAAATTCAGGTAGCTGGGCTCGTAGCACAGGCGTGCTGATGACTACTGTTTTGAGTGGCGAGTGGCAGGTTTATTGGTGAATGCCTGATGAGGGTCAAGTGAGTGTGATATGTCTCCCCTGTCTGCGGAACAGGCTGCCTGCAAAATGTAAAATATCACCATCCAAGACTATGCTGGAAAATATAAACATGAACCAAAAAAAAAATCCTTTTCCAGGAAGCACCAACAACCTTTAATGTCACATCTTAGATTGTCACATCTGAGATACAAGAGAACAGGACACAAAGGCAAGAAGACTATCCTCACAATATCGCAACGGGGGGGAGAGAACCGTACGTAAATGCATTGTCCGGGGTGATGTGGATATTACGTCACGGACAAAAGCAGCTACCAAAATGAAAAAAAAGAGGACAATCCTGGAAAAACCAGGACAGTTGGTAACCGGGGTTCACATCAAGTATCGCACACATAAGACCATGTGCACACTCAGCAATAGCCCCCACCACCGCCTCTTATGTAACACAGCCGCACGGGCGCTCCGCATCCATTATCCGGCTCAATTGACAGCAGCTGAAGCCCGGCACTGTATTACCCCCCCCCCCCCCCCCACCGCTTGAATGGATTTGTCAAAAAAATCTAAAACGAGCCACGAGGACGTCAGAACTCCTTCCTCGTCCTCCCCTCCTTCCTCCCCCCACCCCAGGAACATCAATTTCCAGCCCAATTAGGAACGTACGGAATTAGCGTTAGCACCGTGCCCATAGAGATGCCAGTGCGTTTAACGTGTAATACGATCGGCCTGGATGGATTTGCAGATGTAGAGTCTCACCCTCTACCGATGGCGACATTTTTTTTTTACCGTCTGGTCTTTAACATGTTTTCTTTTGTCCCGTTGATGCAGTTTTGCTGATACGATTCTCAAAGACGGAACATTAGCATATACATCAGATAAATCATAACTAACCGATTCGCGCACACGTGCGATTCCAACATGCATATCACTGGAGTGATAACATAGCCTAACGGAAGAATCAAAGTGTCGGTTTTGGCGACGCATCAAGCACACACACAGGGGCTTTTTACTGCTGCAGCAGAGAAGCAGCGTGGGGTCAGTACCAGACAGGATTGGGGGGGACTGGCGGAGACTGGCTCTGTGCCAGGCTGGTTCCACTTAGCTGGCCTGAGTGCACACAGGTCAGCCAAGCCGTGCAGCTGCAGCGACAATGACGGGGGCCTTCCACTCACGGCCCATTTACCACGGATCGGATTAAGACCATTCCCGGTCAATGCTACCTAAGCTGTAGGAAAGCTGGTCGAATATTCGCTCGATTGTTTGTTCCCGACGCGAATCGCCTTTCTCTCGTGCTCCGCCTGTCCACCCCAGCCTAGCCTACTCCGCAGGAGACGACCGCTAACCCCGCGTCAATCGAGACCCCATGGGAAAGGGCGACCTCAGGCCGAGACCGTAATTAGTGGCAGCTGTGTAGCGACTGGTCGGGCGCTGTATGGAGGGACCAGGATGAATGCTGGACATGCACTGGGGTGGAGCGGTGGGGCAGTGGTTAGGTGTGCCGCGCAATGAGCGCAGTGACCCGAGTTTTATTCCGGGCCATGGCTAACTCACAGTGGTGAGGGACATCCAAACCAGTTCGGGACAACCCGTTTGTGAACCCGCATTGGCCAGTGTGGTGCAGCATGGTCTAACAACCTTCCATGATCGACACAGCGTGAGAAGGCTCTCGTCCTACAGTGGATTGACAAATGGCAGGAAGAGATTCACCCAAACCACCACCAAAATCTGACTGTGCGTCACAAATCTGTCAACTCATAACACCTGGGTCTATCCCGTGACATCCTGTCAGTGAGCCTTCAACACTTTGTGGCCTCAAGGTGCACCTAGCCTGGCACAAGCACTGTGGTGACATTATCAACCACTTAGTGACGATGGCGGTTGTTGTTGCTGTGTATCTGTGTGTATGTGGTCAACGACAATGACAATTATCTGAACCGGTCCTGAGCCTCCCCAAGGTCAACTCAATCTCAAATGAGGAGGTGGTGTGATGTGTAAACATCGCCACTGGGGAGACAAAGGCGCCCGGGGATGGTGCTGGCCACCCAAACCCCTCGTGTGTCATGCCAACCTTCATTTAGTACTCGCTAACAGCACTCGCCCCAACAGCTTTCTTAAGGCTATACGGGGGATCTCTGTATTTTTGTGCAGGGTGGGGGGCGGGGGTGGGTAATGCCTTCAAACTAAACCAGAAGAATTACATCTGACACTGTGACGTCAAAGTGCAGATCCCCCCCCAAAGCCGCGGGGCCCGGGACAGTCGTCCCGATTTGGCGTACCCTAGGGACGGCCTACTGGTTGGGGGCACTGCTCCACGCAACCTGAGAGTTGCGAGCGCACCGCACACTAAGAATCGGCGCGCCAAAGCTCTCTCAAAAGCCCCGTTTAACAAACGGGTACCGAGGCAAAATTGCAGGCTGCACGGGCACACTGCCGCACTGACAGGCCGCAGGGCGCCAAATCCAGGGCGACCCGCCGTGCGTGTGTGCGGAAGCGGGGTAACAACGGCTCTTGGGCTTAAACACCATGCTCGGCAAAAACACGACAAGCGGTTGCTCGTGGCCGAGGGAATAATAAAGGTTATATTTTCCTCTCATTGTTTCTGCCAACATTATTATTACGGTCTGGTTTTGGACACGTTTCAGGCTGACGTTTCCTCTTAGTCCTCCGCGGTTCGCCCACAAGTAGCAGGTGATAAACCCAAGCAGGGCACACTACCACCTAGGTTCAATAGTTCTACCAGGATGCATGCAACATCCCCTATAGTCCTAAATGCAACAATCCATCGAGCAAATCCATCAATGAATGTATCTTGCACAATGGACAGCGGCATTTAGAACTTTAAAGGACGGCGATGGTTTTGGAGTTCTTCATCCAGCAGTGAAATGATCGTGACTGATAATGACGATGATGATGACGATGATGATGAATCCAAGCAAAAACAATAGATCGGCACAGATCTGGGTCGCCATTCAAGTCATGAAAAATGTCGTATTACGTTTTGTTTTGACTGTCACATGACTATCGTTTCTTCCTTTTACAGTTTTGTTCGCTCAGTTGAGCCTAAAAAGGTAGCATTAACGTATCATTTGCATGTGATAAGCCATAAATTACACAAACATTGATCCTTACATGCATGACTTGATGAATATTTGGCCAATTCCATAAATATGCTTGGTTCTTTCGGTGAAGTCACGGAGAAGGGAAACAATAAAATAGAAATAACCAAGAATATGAATCCCTGCAGTCACGAAAGCTTTAAATCAAAATTCCATAAATGTTGAGCATGCAAAGGGAAGCCAGAAGAGCACACAACAGATAGATCAAGAATCCATTGCTGTACTGCTCCATCGTGACCACCTCGATGCCAACTTTTACACAAAATCTCTAACACAGTTCCCAGGGACTTTAAACCACAGACCATGTGGTCTTGGTGCCAAACGCTATATTAGCGCAGAGTTGATGTCCGGCGTCACGTGCAGTCTTTACGACATGGCACCGCAAAGTCAGAACATCCACACCTCATCTCCGGGACTCTCATTTGCTTGTCTCTGGGATATCAGGTCTACAGTCGACAGATCTCTCAAACTCTTGCGTCTCACGAATCTGTCCCTCTTTTTTTCGCCCAGGTCTCCCACCTTCACCTCCCGTCTCTCTCTCTCTTTCATCTCACTCATATTTTATAAAGCTCTTGTCTCCAGTGATCTCTTGTGTCAGAATCAGAATATTTATTTATGCTGGAAGAATCCCATCAGCTATAAAGCTCTTTTTAACAAACATCCAGTGCAATGGCCCTTCTTCATAGCTCAAACTATCGGCCCTTCATAGTTAACGACCTATATAGGGGCTGCCTCCTGAAATGCCTCCCAATTGTATATTTTCCTCGACGAGCACTTTGAGTTCTTAGCGTCTCTAACCTCTCACCTCACCAACAGTTATCTCTTGTCTACACAGCCTTCTCTCATCATCTCCGTCTCTCATTTCATCTTGCCTCTCACCAATCCGAAGCTCAACGATGTCTCGGGACGGAGCCACAGCTCTCTCGGCGGGACACTCCAAAAAAAGCCCCCCCCCCCCTCCCACCTCTCCCCCCCTCCCCCCCTCCCCCTCCCCCTCCCCTCCCCCGCGGGTGACGTCTCGCCCGCGGCTCGCCGGGCCAAAGGACGCCCGAGCATCGTGTGGCGCGCCGTAGGACGGCCACGGAGCCCGCGCCGCCGCGACTGCACAATGCTGGACACAGCCCAGCCCCCCCGGTATGCGCCACCTCCGTGCGCGCTGGACAGCAACGTGGAGGTGGCCACGCAAGGGCAAAAGCTTGCGCCGTTAATATAGGGCGCGAAGCTCTTTGACGACCCGTTCCGCTCGGTGCTGTTGTGCACGCTGGCACGCGCACGCGCTCTCCAATGCACTGCTTTACGGGTGTTACGGAACGACCTTCATAATAATAATGGATGGTGATCCGTTTACAGATACCGCAGTGATTTCAAACGACTGAATGTTGCGCAAGGCGATGGCTCCATGTCTTACGTAGAAGAGCGGAAAATTATTTTATTGCACGTGCACTGAGATTGGTGGAAGATGCGTAGAGGATTTTAAATAAAATGTTGTTTTCTCCATAATGTAATTTATCCCCTTTTATTGTATTAGTATTATTATTGTTCCGCTTGTTTACCAAGGCAAGCCTCACCGAGTCTCATGACTCATTTTAACGAGTGTTCTACCAAGTGTTCACAGTAGTGGGTGATGACTGACATGTAAATTCCAACCGAGTGAAATTAGTGGGGCATCTATAAATGAACCACCCTGTATAATTACGATTCAGAGTCACAGTTTTATTGAAGAATTGATTACGGTTTTATTTAAACATTGCAAATATATGAAGTGGCCTCCAGTGGCTGGATGGGTCAAGAAAACTCATTACATATGCTCTATAAAGGCTCAAATCAATGAATTCCCCGTGAAATTAAAATGTGATGCTAAATGAGGCACTGACACATTGCTACACCCTTGATTACAATCCTGAAAAATACTTCACTACGCTGGTCATTACGGGTTGTTGAAGGTAGGGAGTATAGTAACGGGTGCATAGAAGTGCAGCACAACAATGGGTATTGCTCCTGCAATACACTGCTGATGCCACAGTGGCGAGATGTTAACTCCCTCGCCCGGTATACAGGAAGTCGTGGGTTCGATCCCGACCCTGACGCCGGTATATTTGGAGTTTGCATGCTCTCCCTGTGGTCGCGTGAATTTTTCTCCGGGTCCTCCGGTTTTCCCCTCCACATTTAGAATCAACATCACGGCGTTTAGAGTATTTGGCTGCTATAAATTTCCAGACAATAAGCCACTTCGTTGAGATATTATTTCGTGGCCAGGTCACATCTGCAAAAGAGCTATATAGCTCAGTGGGTCTTAAGAGGTAAAATAACAAAGTCTAGCTTTTTTAGTTTAAATAGCACCTGCAAGCAGCCTATAACACCTGCTTTACGGAAGATGGTCGCCCATCCAACCACTATCACGGCTCAAGCTCGCTTAGCCTCCGAGATCGGGAATATTCTCGCTGATTAGCCATAGGCATGGGTACGTACGTAGACAGTCCTTTTGTCAGTCCACTGCTGAATGCACGGACGTAATATGTTTACAAAGTCAAATTCGCACAATGATCTACAGTCAAAAAGTAGAAACCAAATTACGCGTGTCCGCCACCTTTGCCAACAAAGCACCGGCACACAAGAGGCACACACTCCCAACAAATAAACAATCGGAAAATTCCACACACAGCAGCCCCTTTTTCACCCGGAATCCGATGGGCATTATAGCCCGTGTAACGTACCCCAGCTGCGAGTTGTTGCTGGCCGTCTTGGCCAGCTTCGTTAACGACTTGGCATAAACTTCTTCCACCGTCATCCTGAAAAGGAAACAAAAAACACACGGGCGGAACAGCACCACACTCAGCGGAGCAGAAGACCAAAATCAGAATTTTGTTTGCATATATACTGGAGGAATCCGACGAGCTACAAAGCTCTCTTTCACACATGTCCAGTATTTTCACGTCTAGTTTGAATAAGAATACCCACGTTCATGACTCAAAGGGACAAGAGCCCCAATATTTTGGCTGTGTAAGAAGGATAAGTGGTGATAGGTTTCCACACCGCACGCTGTTCTAAGGATGACCGTATTCTCAGAACTATAAGACGCACGTTTTTTTCTGTACTTTAAAAAGCCAAAATTGGAGGTGCATCTCACTTTCTGGAGCATCTTATGATCCGGTGAATACGGTCGTAGTAAGGAGCTCAAGAGGACGTGGCTGAACCAACCAAATGCGCATGAGCTGGGGGCACGCGACATCCAAGAATGGCGCAAAAAAGGTGCGACGACAGATCAGGCAAGAAGCGGCGTGGAACAGAATAGAAGCTGGGTGGCAGGAGGAGGAGGAGCAGGTGTGACCCAACATTGACGAAAGACCAAGGGAAGAAGAAGTTAAGTTCGGACCGAGTGCAGCATCAGCGGTGTGCCACGAATACGCACAAGAGGGCGCGCACTTTGCCATGCACTCTGTTGCGGAGTGATGTTCGTAATGTCCGTCGCGTGGCAGATAGACAGATGTTTTCAATTGTCAAGAGCTGGAATCTTTCCAAATTTAGTGTAGAAACTAAATTAAATTTGACGGCCTTCGTGGCTGAACAGGCTGATACCATAAAACTAAATTTCATTAATAAGTTTTTACAGCCACTTGAAATGCAAGCGTGGGTTCTCCGGATTGGGCTGCACGTTGAACATTTCTTCTTGCAAGTTTTCAAAGTGCACTGCTGCGGGCATCTTCAGGAGTTGCAATGAACTCCTGAAGATGCCCGAAGAAGCACGTGGCGCAAGCTTGGAACTCGGTGCAATTTCAGAACTCGACTCAAACAACTGAATGGCCGAAACATGGGCTCGACCCCAAAAGTGTCAGCAGTGTCGACGCATTTGCTCTGACCACTATTGAACAACCTGATAACAACACACAGACCATTACTGAAGTTCAACGGCGCAACCTTTCTGCCACAAATATTGCGGCAACCTTTAAGTGTGATGCTGCTTTCTACATTTGACGATGAAACTCCGTAAAATAGAATTTCAAAATAATTGCGAATACAGGAATTGACAGCTTTTTTAAACCCAACGTACCTTTCTCTAATGAAGTCAGCCACCTCCTTGGTGGATATCTGGCCGTGCTTCATGTTATGGTAGAGGATGTCAAATCCATTGTTCTTCTCCCCCTGAAGACGACACAAAAGCAACGACCGTCAGCGCTGCGAGCGTCGGCAGAAAGGCAACCGCGATCGACGACGTGCGAAAATCATCGGCGTCAACAGCACCGCAGCCGATCGCGCAAATATTTACGTGCAGCTCTGCCACGCATACACGGATCCTTGGTGGTAGACGTTCGACATGAGCTCTGCGTGAGATCGTTAGCATGATTGTGGGCGGCAGGATGGTAGCGCGGTGGTGTAACACTCGTGGCTCGCAGCAAGAAGGCCCCGGGTTCGATTTCTGACTCGGATGCCTTTCTGTGTGGAGTTTGTGAGTTCTCCCCCTGTTCTTCGAGGGTTTCCTCCGGGTTCTCAAATTTTTTCACATAGCTAAAAAAAAAACCCACTGTAACTGGTATTGGCCAAAACATCCCAATGCTGAGAACTATCCTGCATATTACGCAATTGCAAATATAAATAGTGACGTGAAAATCTGGCAGGAACCTGCTGAAATAGAGTCTTGAAACTCAGTGAAGCTTTTGTGGATAAACAAGCAGGATAATAATAATAACAATAAGTTCCATAGGTATGTCAGAATTCACCTAACCCATTCGCAATTTCGATGAATTGTCACAATCAAGAGATGTGATTCAAATCAAGAACAGATTATCTTTGTCTCGATCTGCCATCTCAATCGTATTGGCAAACGCGGCTTTTTACTTCGGCATAGTATGTTAACCAACTAGGACTGCGATAAAAAAGCACAACAATCATGAGTCCACCTTTCTTGTTGGGGGATTGGCGATCAGGTGCACGTTCGGGATTATTGGCGGTCATCCAAATCTGCCGCCTACATTTTTTACAAGCACTCTGACCGTGCACAAGAACAACTTCAGACGGTGGTTAGGTACGTCTGGTACACTTGGCGGATCGCCGTGGGTGGGCAGTATTCGAGGTCGAGTCGGCGTCCCACACAGAGCGTCGTACGGAACTGCGCGATTACCGCACACTGCGCATTGTGCGAGCTCTTCCGTTTAAACCGTAAAAACTAAACTTCTTGTTCTTTTACAAGGTAAGGTCCACCGAGCTATATAGCTCCTTTTCAGAAGCGACCTAGGCATAAATGATAGCTCAACCAAGTGGGTTTTCACGTGGAAATGTATAGCGGCCAAATACTCTGAATGCATGTTTCTAAATGTGGAGGAAAAAAACGGAGAAAAATCCACACGATCAAGGGGAGAACATACAAACTCCAAATATAATACAGGCGTCAGGGTCGGGATCAAACCCATGACCTCCTGTATACCAGGCGAGTTAGTTAACATCTCTCCACCGTGACACCCCTTTCGGCTGCGCGAGCCAAACGTTGACTCCTGCGGGTGCGCGAAGTCGGCAACTAATCCGGAAAACGTGGATTTTGGCAGCAATAAAGATTCCACATGAGAGCCAGATTAACATTTAAGTTGTATTACTGCTAATCTGATTGCACAAAACGTGTAAACCGCAGGCTCAAACAGCCCTTGGGCTAATACTGGCTCTCCAAGTGTGGGAATGAGCGAGGTTGCTAGGAGCCCGGGCTGGTGGGGAGATGGAACAAACAAGGCAATATACTTTGAACGTTTTGTACAATTTGTACTGAACCATCATGACCATCATCATCATCAGCCATTGTCTAGCAACTTCAAGTTAAGTAATGGTTGAATGGGGGCTACGATAGAAAGCCTCAATTGCTGCAATGAAGAGTGGACAGAGGAAAGTCGAGTGAGATGAGTGGGGAGAGGTAGTAGAGAGCACGGGGAAGGGAGTAGAGTGAGATGAGAGGGAAGAGGTGAGTCCATGTAGGATGTATGCATGTAGAACTTCTTTTGGACCGAATGTAGCCAATCGTGCTAATCGGAGGTGCGGGGGAAGGACAACAAACTAAACACAAAAAGCAATTCTAAAAAAATTAGTTTTCAATTTAGGTGATTTAAAAGTGGATAGCTCCAGTGGCTTCCTAATATCAGAAGGAAGAGTGTTCCAGACGGCCACAAAAGCGCATTTGAAAGCACGCGATGCAGTGACCGTCTTTGTTCAATGGTTAGCCAAAAGCCACTGCGATATTGTCTATCAGACGCGTAACGATTTATACATTTGTTGAGGCGTAAATGATGACTCGGAGGCAGATCTTCATGTAGGGGCTTGCGCCAGTTGTTTCATTAAAGACTTCTCTTCGCACGCGACTCCGTGTACTGCACACTCACTGCCTACACTCCACACCCCAGGGGAAGGGTACTGGGGAGGTCCCTAGCACACCCACAGGCTACCCTAGCCTGGTGCTAATTTCCCCCTACCCTGGGTCCCATCGCTCCCCCAGGGGAAGGGTACTGGGGAGGTCCCTAGCACACCCACAGGCTACCCTAGCCTGGTGCTAATTTCCCCCTACCCTGAGGTCCCAACTTCTAACTTCACACGTTCGTGGCGCCCCGCAACGACCCCGAACACGTCCCAGGGGGACATGTCACCGTCCCGCCCCCTGTGCATGACGTCACCATAAGTGACGTCATCGTGCCGGAGGCGAGCGTGACATGACGTCACTAACTACTACACTACACATTTAAAGCAATAATTTTGCTCACAATACATGTATCGAGTTATGCTCATGAAAATCAATGAGTTATATTTGCATATTTGTTCACATAACTACAGGTCCCTGCAGCCACTAGAGCAGTGTTTCTTAACCTTTACTGCAGCCTGCACCCCACTCTGGTTCTCAAACAGGGCATCTCGCACCCCCAGGGGGTCACGTGCACCCCATGTTAAGAACCACTGCACTAGAGGCTGCTCTACAAAGTGCAATTTTAAACAAAACAGTGCTTTTGTAGTTCGCCCCCAGGTTTACCCCCTTGTGTGCTGTCACTGTCGTGAGACGAGGATCCAATACGCATCCTCACACAGCGGTGCAACCCTTCACGTTAGAGAATGGCCCACAGCAGAAGTGGATACCACAGCGCTACCTCGGAGGGCTCTTCACGCATTCAAGTGACCTTTGGGTCCACACAGTAGGGGGGCAGTACTTTACCGTTTGTCATGTGACAATCAAACTGATATTTTTAATTCTCAGAGATGGATTCACACATACAGTATATAAAAAGACACACAAATAGACAAAGGCAAAGATCCCCGGTATTGCCTATTACAGACTGCTAGGGCAAGTGCTGTTAGCGAGCATAGTGGTTAATACCACACTCGATCACCTTTGTCTCCCAAGTGGAGATATTTACACACCGCACTAGGTTCTAATTTGAGGCTGATTCGAACTCGGGGAGGCCCAGGACCTGTTCAGATATTTGTCACTGTTGTTGGCCGTGAGCGGGAATCAAACTCGGGTCGCTGGGTTCGTAGAGCAGTGTAATCACTCCACAAACACATAGACATTTTGATTTAAAGCTTTCGTGACTGCAGGGATTCATATTCTTGATTCTTTCGGTAAAGTTACGTAGAAGGGAAACAATAAAATAATAAAAATATATTATTTTATTGTTTCCCTTCTACGTGACTTTACCACGTAGAAGGGAAACAATAAAATAATGAAAACATATTATTTTATTGTTTCCCTTCTACGTGACTTTACCGAAAGAACCAAGAATTCATATAGACATGTAATAATAATAATGCCTGCTTGTATTGCACCTTCCATAAAATCTAAAGGCGCTCGTACGTACTCACAGACACATACAAGGGAGGCCTTTCCAACAATGAGACTGAGACTAAGGCAAAGTTCACGTTGAAAGTGGCGGTGCCGCTGTGCACTCATTCGGTGGTGGTAGTGGGTGGGTACCCGATGACGCCAACTATATGTGGGGGTCTTTTTTTTGTTTGAACCAGCCTGGCACAACGCTGCAGTTGGTGCCTGACACAAGAGATTGGAAAACACCATTTTGATGTTCAACTGGAAACACGTGTCGGCAAATATCCCCACGAGACATGCCGTGCGTAGACGACTATGCTGATTCACAACCGCGAGTCCTACCGGGGGGGTGTTTATGAAGGTATCAATCCGTAGCTAAACAGTTATAATGACACTGGTTTGGGGGATGGTGCCGTGGTGTAATGGCTCGCACGACGGACTTGCAATCCAGAGGTCGCAGGTCCGATCTCCTCGCATGGCTACCCAGCAGCATGATCGGGCACACCCACAGTTAGTCGATTTAGGAATGTCGCGTGTGGTGGGGGTAAAGTGTGGGTACTCCCACCTTTTCCACGATGCCTGACCAGCATGCTAACCAGAGGTGTGAGCAAGTAATTTCAGGGCTGCACCTTAACCACTCTTAAACTACTTCGATAAGAGCTGTACAGACACGCACATGTGGCAGTACGAAGATTTTGCTATGGGAGTTTCGACCGTATTTTCAGAAAGGTTTCAGCACACGTAGAACGCTGCAACGCAAACATAAACCAGGAGTGGGGAAAAGCTTTCCCTGAGAGCCGAAGAGGACTTTCAGATTCCTTTGGTGGGCAACCAACTCATTAACACCTTACACCCCAGTCAGTCCTGTCACTGAAAGAGGACCTCGCAGTGACAGAAGTGACTGAACGCACTAAGATTAGAAATGCAGAATTGCTGCTGCCAGGTTGAAAATATTCCTGCCCCCCCCCCCCCCCCCCCCCCGTCTAGTACCCAACGAATGCAGCTAAGATGTTTGCAGTGACGGATAAATGTCGCTTGCAGCCGCTTCAGAGCGGCGAGCCTCATGCGGCGGCCGTGGGTGGGTAAAATCACATTGCAGGCAACAGGTTCCCTCCCCCACCTCTGCTCCAACCTTCCCTCCATAAGTTAACCCTCCACAAGATACGCAGTGGAATATACAGGTAGAAGTTATCACCCCCCCCCCGCCGCGCCGCCCTGCCCCACCCCCTCCATACCCCACCTAAAGCGAAAACTTAGCAGGACCCTCCTGAAAAAAAGAGTCGTGAGGGTCAGTGAGGCGTTGATGGGAAAACAATAGTAAATAATTATAATAATCGTATCGAGATGTGAGAATAAT